GTGCCTTCCTCCTGTTTTCTTATCACAGTACCAGTCTCAGCCTTCTTTTCTTTCATTTTCTATTCCAGCATCTCTGGCTTTTATTTAGCCCACTGTGTGGGTGGCTTTCTATTCTATTCCAAATCTTATTTTTATGCCTTCAAATACTATGCTTTTTTTCTTTGATATTTTGGTCTTTAGTGATGCCAGTATTAAGCTTGTAAAAATCCAGATCATGCATTTCCTATGGTTTAATGAAATATAAATAATTCATAAGAGCTGTGATTGCTCTTATTTATTTCATGCAATTTCAATTGCATGACAGCCCTGTAGCTGATGGGTCAGTGTAATTTAGATCTTCATTGATTTTGGTTCCTTAAGCGGTTTTATGGTACAGTTACTTTCACTTCTCCTGACTTACATTACCACAAGTTAGCAGCTCTATGCTTTTCTTAAATTGTTGGTGATTTTCATTTGTGATGGAAGTTGCAGTATTTCTCCTGTCTGCTGACTTAGTTTTTTTCTTTGTTTGTTGTTGTTGTTGTTGTTTGTTTTTGTCCCCCAGGCTGGAGTCCAGTGGCATATTCTCAGCTCACTGCAACCTGCCTCCTGGGTTCCAAGTGATTCTTGTGCCTCAGCCTCCTAAGTAGCTGGGATTACAGGTTTGTGCTACCATGCCCAGCTAATTTTGTATTTTTGGTAAAGACGGGGTTTCACCACGTTGGCCAGGCTGGTCTTGAACTCCTGTCCTCAAGTGATCTGCCTGCCTTGGCCTCCGAAAGTGCTGGGATTACAGGCATAAGCCACCGCGCCTGGCCTCTGCTGACCCAATTCTTGGTTATGAAGCTGTGGTTGTAGTTTAAGCTTCCTGTAAGACACCCAGCCAGGTGTTCAGCATCGCAAGGTATGTAGGGTAAATATGTGTTAAATAAAATAATGTTTTATTCCTATGATACTGTGTTGTCTCGTCTCTCTCTTTCTCTGTTTTAAAATTTTTTTCTCTCTTCACTTTGCACCATTTTTATACCATTTAATTTTTGTTATAGCAATAAGATATCGTGTTGTGTGTGTGTGTGTGTGTTTAATACCCTTCATCTACCAGGACAAACCTACAAATGGGGAAGAGGGAGGCAATAAAGAGCCCTCAGAAAAGTAAACTTTAGAAAGTTTATACATTTATATTTTCCTTGAAATATCAGAATTTTTAAATTAAAATTTCAATATCTTTTCCTCCCAAATGTACATATTATTTTAAAACTTAAGTTAGGTTTATTAAAAAACAGCTATCTCATCATGCACCTTTATTATTCATTATCAACTTTTTCTGCTACATGTCTATCATTTTATCATCAGTTGACTAATACTAGCCTATATTTCACCAGTTGGCTCATGTACTTTTGAGGGAAATGTTTTTCCTGCTAGTTTTTTCATTTTTCATCTTTCATGTTGCTAAAAGTATTACAACTGCTCTGTAAATACCCAGATGAAACAATTATGGAAGGATAGATAGCATAAATAGTGTAATACAATGAGTGATCTCATAGTCATTATCTGCTAGTTTGACCTTTTTCTTTTCTTTTTGCCTGAGACTTCTTAATAAAGTTTCTAAGGGCAATGCTCACATCAGTTATCATTTCTTTTCTTTTCTTTTTTTTTAATTGTACTTTAAGTTCTAGGGTACATGTGCATAACGTGCAGGTTTGTTACATATGTATACTTGTGCCATGTTGGTGTGCTGCACCCATCAACTTGTCAGCACCCATCAACTCATCATTTACAGTTACCATTTCTTGAACACTTAGTGGCCGCTCAGTCAAAGGAACCCAGCAGTCAGAAGAATTATTTGAAGCCTCTTGAAGCAATTGGGCTGCATCAAGCACTCTCTCTTTGCAGGACACTCAGATAATATTTCCAATATAACCCTTAACTCATGGTATCATACTTTTATCTATTCACATTTGCTCCTGGAAGGCAGGAAAATGTCTCCAGTAGAGCATGACCCACAAGGTATTCTTTTATTTATATTTATTATATATTTATTATATAAATAATATATGTTTATTATATATATATTTATATATTTATGACACTGCGTCTTGCTCTGTCACCCAGGCTGAAGTGCAGTGGTGCAGTCTTAGCTCACTGCAACCTCTACCTCCTGAGTTCAAGCTATTCTCATGCCTCAGCTACCTGAGTAGTTGGTATTGCAGGCATGTGCCACCACACAGGCCTATAATTTTTTTTTAAATTTTTTTTATTTTTAGTAGAGATGGGGTTTCACCACGTTTTCCAGGCTGATCTTAAACTCCTGGACTCTAGTGATCCACCCACCTTGCTCTCCCAAATACTGGGATTACAGGCATAAGCCACCATGCCTGGCCAGTATTCTTTAAGTATTTGATTAAATGCCTTGTTTTGCGCCACTGTTTTGAGAAAACAACCTCTTTGTCCCTTTTCTTTTCTTTGATTTGGAACCACTCTGGCCTTCTCTGTAGTCCTATAAATTTGAGGACAGGCAGTTTTGATGCCTTTGGGCCTAGAATCTTGGCTCTCTTGTTCCCCTTTCCTGAGGCCACAGAATGGAAGCTGAGTATACTTGAATGGTGGCAATTGGCTGTTACTCATGTAGGTATCCGCCAAGATTGACCCAGTTCTTGCTCTCCTTAACTCTTCAGTCTTTTAAAGGTACTTCTTTACCCTCCTCAAGAAGTATGTATTGTATCTAGAATTTTTCTTTTCCTTCCTTCCCTCCCTCCCTCTCTCCTTCTCTCCCTTCTTCCTTCCCTCCTCCCCCTACTTTCTCTCTCCTCCCTCCCTTACTTTCTCTCTCCTCCCTCCATCTCTTTTTCCTTCCTTCCCTCCCTCCCTCCCACTTTCCCTCCCTCCCTCTCTCCCTTCTTCCTTCCCCCTCCCGCTACTTTCTCTCTCCTCCCTCCCTCTCTCCTTTTTCTCCTTACTTCCCTTCCTCCCTCCCTCCCTCCCTCTCTCCTTCTCTCCTTCCTTCCCTCCTTCCTTCCCTTCACTTCCTCTCTCCTTCTTTCCTTGCTTTCTCTCTTTCTTTCCTCTTTTCCTTGCTTTCCAGCAGGATAATTCTGAATAACTTAGCCCTCTAATCCTAGAAACAAGATATTTAAAAATCTATTTAGAAATAGTAAATTATTAACAACTGACAATAAGCCTTAAAATGGGCATCCCCTTTTAGGATTCTTTTAGATTTGTCAGTCAAGGCAGATAACATAGATCATCAGTCAGTATAAAAATATGTCACTTACATATTTCCAGTAAAAAGATCCTTAAAAATGACCCACAATTATAAAACCTTTCCAAGAAATGAGTAACTCTAATAATTAGCATAACTTACTAGAATTTATTCTTTACACTTACCATCAATATACTTCCTAAGGCAAGAAGTCAAACTCAAACTGGCTTAAGCTATAAAGGGTATTTGTTGACTCAGATGGAAAGACTTGGGATGGATTACTTCAGGAACAGCTAGATCCAGGAATTCAAGTATTGTTATTAGGCATAGTGTCTGTCTGCCTGATCTTCTGTGTTAGCTGCAGTCTCTGGTAAGCTCTCCTTTGGTGGTGAGATAGATTTTAGGAACTCCGGACTCACAGTCTGTGCTTGAAGTCAATGATCTCCAAACTTTGTTGATTATGTACCTAACAGTAAAAGTTGAGCAGAATAGTCCCAACATGTATGTATTTCTTTATATATGATATGCTACTAGATACTACTTTTGTGTGTTATATAATGTATATTCTTTGTTATGGTATACATATGCTGTAAGTTATATTGCTGTGTTGTATGTATATTCTATGTTATACTAATTATGGAGTTCAATTTTTAGTTTTTAATGTAAATAATAAAATAAAAATACTAATATTTTTTATACTCCCAATGGATTGTTTTTTGCACCCCACTTTGGGGACTACAATAACAGTCCTGTGAACCATCTCTCATTGGTTCTTTTTGACCTACCCTGAGTCATGTGCCCATTCCTGAGTCCAGAGTCCTTGAAATAGTAAAAGCAAATTTTTATTAATGTAAAGTGACAAATATCTGACTAGGCTTAAATTGAGAGATGCTATTTATCTTTGTGAAGCTATTTATATTCTGGAATCACTGATACTTTATCCAAAAAAAGGGTCATAGTCCTTCTCTCAGTACAGAGTTACAGAACCAAGATTCTCTTCTTCCATAACAATCTAATTCCATTCGTTTATACTAAATTTCTGTAATGTCATACCTGGAGTATCATGAAAATGTCCTGTCTGGTTTTTGTTCATATACCCACTCACATACAATTCGTACATACACACTCACACAAACATAAACACACATACTTTCTCTAGTGACAGGTGAACGCTCTGTGTTAAGAAGTAGGAATTGATGAGTCTTGTAAGTAAAATCCAATTTTTATAATTCTTGAGATTGGCTGTTTTTTTAATTTTGTTTTTAATTTTTAATTTTTTGAGAGAGAGTCTCACTCTGTCACCCAGGCTGGAGTACAGTGGCGTGATCTTGGCTCACTGCAACCTCCACCTCCTAAGTTCAAGCAATTCTTCTGTCTCCACCTCCCTAGTAACTGAGATTACAGGGGCCCGCCACCACACCCAGCTAATTTTTGTATTTTTAGTAGAGATGGGGTTTCACCATGTTGGTTAGGCTGGTCTCAAACTCCTGACCTCAAATGATCTGCCCGCCTCAGTCTCCTAAAGTGCTGGGATTACAGGTGTGAGCCGCCATGCCTGGCTGAGATTGGCCATTTTGAACAAGATTGGTGGCTGTGTGGAAAAGTAGGAGGTAGAGGGTCTGGAATAATTTTTCATGTAGTTTTAGAAATGGGAGACGGTCCCTGCCATAACTAGAGTTCTTTTTTATTCTGTGTTCATAAAGAGGCTTTTCAGTGTATGACATGCCATATGTACCAGCTCAAGTTTAGGGAAAGCAAGTTACTTCTAAAGGAGCTGAAGGAGAGGCTTTCCTGGGTATTTAAAATTAATCTTCTGTGGCAGAAATGCAATGGCACGTCATGATTCTGAGATGAAAGAAGAATGTCTAAGGGAAGACCTGAAGTTTTACTTCATGAGCCCTTGTGAAAAATACCGAGCCAGATGCCAGATTCCGTGGAAACTGGGTTTGCAGATTTTGAAGATAGTCATGGTCACCACACAGGTAACTTACATTATTATTTCATTTGATTTTTCCCTTACCCCAAGACAAAACTCTTTTCATGTGTTCTATACTTGACTTTTGTTCTGAAAAGCCCAGACTCAAGTTCCTAAAACTAAAATTATGTTGACTCTGGAGAGCAGAGGGTAGGTTGAAGTTCTGTTTAGAAGACAATCTTAGTAAGAGATCCTGAGGTCCTCTCTGTACAGGTTCTGTAAATGCTGAATCAATGTCGATCTGTGGTGAGGGGTTTCTGTGTCTGAGTGACACACATTTGTGTTCTGGAACTCTCTTTATTAAACACAGCTTATTCAAATATACTTTCAAAATCTGCATTTTTTTGTCTTCAGACTTACAGAATCCTAAGTTTTCCTTGTATCATATCAATGTGCTCTATCTAAGTAAACACTGATCCCAGGCACTATCAGGATTATACAAAAGCTGCATTTAGACCTTTTGTTCAAGTTCATATTGTTGAGCTCTTTATTACCGGTATCAAAACAGCCATCAGAGTTTTCCTCTAGTTTTGGGGCCTGTATTGCTGAACCAGTATTGGGGAGGCTTCTCTATAGGTCAGGGGTCCCCAATCCCTGGGCCATGGACCTGTTAGGAACCAGGCTGCACAGCAGGAGGTGAGTGGTAGGCAAGGGAGTAAAGCTTTATCTGTTTTTATAGCTGCTCCCCATGGCTTGCAGACTGCCTGAGCTCTGCCTCCTGTCAGATCAGTGGTGGCATTAGATTCTCATAGGAGCGCAAACCCAGTTGTTAACTGCACATTCAAAGGATCTAGGTTGCACACTCCTTATAAGAATCGAATGCCTGATGATCTGTCACTGTTTCCCACCACCCTGGATGGGACCTTCTACTTGCAGGAAAACAAGCTCAGGGCCCCCACTGATTCTACATTATGGTGAGTTGTATAATTGTTTCATTATATATTACAATGTAGTAATAATAGAAATAAAATGCACAACTAATGTAATGCATTTGAATCATCCTGAAACCACTACCCACCCACCCCCACCCCCACCCGCTCCAGTCCCTGGAAAAATTGTCTTCCGCAAAACCAGTCCCTGGTGCCAACAAGGTTGGGAATCATTGCCGTAGTTAACTATATTTGAAACACATGCCCTTTTAAACTGATTAGAGATATGTGGCTCTATTGGCAAATAATCATTCTGTTATCAGTGTAGAGGTGTGTAAAGATGTTATTTCTGGGACATAAAAATAAATACTTAAAAATACCTTTATGTAGTTTTAGGAATGGGAGAAGGTCCCTGCCATAACTAGAGTTACTTCTTTATTCTGTGTTCATAAAGAGGCTTTTCAGTGTATGATATGCCATATGTACCAGCTCAAGTTTAGGGAAAGCAAATTACTTCCAAAGAAACAACAAGGTTGAGATGCAAAGACATTGTTAAATGTGTATGCGTATTGTTAGCTTATTTTCATTCTCATTCTTGGTTTTGAAGTTTTAGTCTTGGCAACCAATAATATATCTATTCTGGTCCTGTCCTCAGAATTTGCAGTGTAGGAATATAGATCAGTTAATTAGGCTACTTCTGGCTTTGTCTTATGCCTACCTTTCTTATCCATATACATTCAATGCTAGTATCACCTTAATTTTTCGTAGAATAGCCTTTATTGTGTCACTCTCCTGTTCAAAACCCTACTTCCTGTAATCCCAGCATTTTGGGAGGCCGAGGTGGGCAGATCACGAGGTCAGGAGATTGAGACCATCCTGGCTAACACGGTGAAACCCCGTTTCTACTAAAAATACAAAAAATTAGCTGGGCGTGGTGGCGGGCACCTGTAATCCCAGCTACTGGGGAGGCTGAGGCAGGAGAATGGCGTGAACCTGGGAGGCGGAGCTTGCAGTGAGCTGAGATCCGGCCACTGCACTCCAGCCTGGGCAACAGAGTGAGACTCGTCTCAAAAAAACAAAAAACAAAACAAAACAAAACAAAAACCCCTACTTCCCAAGAAGAAAATTTCACCTCTCTAGCCTGGAATTCAAAGAGTTCCAGTCTCCTTCAACTTGTCTTTCCAACAAGTTTTCATCTGCTGTTTCCTACCCAAATCCCAGTCAGACAGGCCAACCCAATGATTCTCTTCCACATCCTGTTTGTTCCTCCAAATCCAGGGTGACTTTTTCTCCCTCACCTTTCAGGTACTATTTGAAGTCCCATCTCCCCCACTGGGCCTTGCCTGACCATCCAGCACATGGTTTTCTTTAGTACTTCTTCCTGTCTACATGACTGATTTTATTTTTTATTATTTTTTCAAGGTGGGGTCTCTCTGTGTCACCCAGGCTGGAGTGCAGTGGCACAATCATAGCTTACTGCAACCTCGAACTCCTGGGCTCAAGAGATCTTCCCACCTCAGCCTTTTAAACAGCTGACTAAAGGCACATGCCACTGCACCTGGCTTTTTATTTTATTTTTGTAGAGATGGGGTCTTGCTTTGTTGCCCAGACTGTATTTGAACTTGTGGTTTCAAATAGTCCTCTCGCCTTGGCCTCCCAATGAGCTGGGATTACAGGCATGAGCCACTGTGCCCGGCCTACTAATTTTACTTTAAATAACAAAATATTTCTGGGAACTATACTTTACTTTTCATGTGGGCATACCCTGTTTCCCCTAATAAAATTGGGAAGGATTAAACTTTTGTTTCCATATAGGATCATTCTAACAAATTTTGCTATTTGGGTGATATCTAATTGGAGCAGATTTCTTGTTTACCATTCCTTGCATAATATCTCACTTTTCCCTCCCTCTCTTTTTCTGTTTTTTTTTTTTTTTTTTTTTTTTTTTTTTTTTTTGTGCTCCATCCTCAAGTCTAATGGGATGGGTATGAGGGCTGATGAGAAAGAAAAAACTTTTTAAAATTCTTACTCTGAATTCTGCAGTAATTTATAATCTTGAGGGAGGTGTCTACATTCTTTTGCTAGTTCTACTCTTTCTCTCCCATTTCTTTTGTACATAATTAGAGCAGTATCTTGTTTTTACCTGGTACAGAATATTTTATCCTACATTGATTTCATAATGAGGCCTTAAATTCACAATCTTTGCCAGACTACACTTATAAGTAATTATTTTTCTGTCTTGTATCATACTCTCAGCAAATCTTAATGTCTAATTAGTGGGACTAGGATGCATTTTGCTGTCAACGCCTTTAAAAAAAAACCCAGTCATTTGGACAATACCATCTTCCCTTACTCTTACTCTGCAGTGAGTGTTTGGTTCTGTCATAACAAGAAAGGGACTTCGCAGTTTCCTTCCCAGGATTTGTCTCCTTTAAGAGATGATTTGAAAATCCCAACCTTCCCCAGTGCTGGGCCATGCATTTTGATCTTGGCTTGTTCTATGAATAGAATGGAGGAAATTTCTTGCTCCTGATGCCAGATAGGTTAGGTTCCAAGCAGAGATTACAACAGAGTCCTCTCATCCCCAAAGCTGAGTTTTGATGAGCTTTGAGTTTAAGGTTGTGGCTTCAAATATCAGCAAACTGTATACCACTTTCATGGTCAATTTGTTCATTCCCTAGTTCACATTTTTTTGTTGTTGATTCTTTAGCTTCACTATTAATGTGGGAGGAATGGGTCGAGTATCCCTGCCTCTAGAGTTAAATTGGCAGCATTTCAGTTTAAGAGGTTGTGGGGCCAAGAGGTTGAGAGAACAAACAGACTCTAGAATCAAACAGACCTGGGTCCAGATCCTTACTCTAACATTTTCTGGATATTCCAACCTGGATAAATTACTTGACTTCAGATGTATCAAATGGGATTATATTCATCAGCTGATTCAGTGTTTGACGTTGTGATGGGCATTATTTCATTTCCTGAGTATATGATAGTAGGGGAAAAGGAAAAACATTCCTGTCCTTGCAGAGCACAGTGCAATAGCTCACTCATAGGGTATTGAGAATTAAATGAAAAATAATAAATTTTAGCACAATGCCTGGTTCTCAACAGATAGGAGTTGTTATTCAGTACCATGCAGTGTTGTTCTTTTCCACTTTGTATCCCAGCTTGGCTCAGAGTAAGCACTCAGCAAACTTTGATTGAAGAACTTCATTCATGTGTGGTGTGTATACCAGTTTTTTCATATGTGTCAGTAGTTTTAATAAAACTTCGAAGCAATCGTGTGTGTTGTTTCCCTGGTTTACATTTTACCTTTCAAGAGCAACATGACCTTTTCTGGCTTCTCCTACAGGCACCATTGACAGAAATCACATGCTTAGAAGAACTTATAACCTTCTGTTGCTTAATTTTCAGCACAAGTTAGATGATGTGGGACTTCTTATCTGATGTTTTCCTTAGAATAGCTGAGTTTTAGCAGTTGCACAGTCCTTTGACATGGCATTTGAGGAATGTGACATGGTGAGTCTCAAATGCTGAACAGTAGCATCTGTGTACATTCTCAAGTGATAGTTGCCTTTCCTAATTTTGAAAAGCTAGCACTTAAATTCGTTAGAAGAAGCATCCCAAAAAACTTTTTCAGCAGAAGGAAGTTGTTTTTGTAGCATAACACAGATGACGTTGGAATTAGACTTGGCTTCCATTCTGGTTAGGTGACTTAGGCAATTTAATGAAGCTAAATCTCAGGTTCCACATACGTAAAATGGAATAACAGTAGTAACATTTCATAGACCACTTGGAGTAAAGGAGACACTGCATGTAAAGCGGTTAGCACAGTACCTGGCATATAATAATTGCTGAAAATGGTGACTATTTTTCCTAATTGTTTAGTATTTTTTAAAACGACAAAATATAAAAGCTAAAAAATGTAAACCATGAAAAAAACCTTATGCCTATATGTTGTTTGCATATGCAAATTAATATTAGCTATTTTACTTTATTTTTTTAGAGACAGGTCTTGCTATATTGCCAAGGCTAGCCTTGAACTCCTGGGCTTAAGTGATCCTCCCACCTCGGCCTCCCAAGCAGCTGGGACTACAGCCACAGACCACCTCACCCTGCTAAATTAACATTAGTTTTATCTGAATTGTTCAGAATTGTGTCTTGTATATTATTGTTTAGATGTATCATATTGAACCATGGAATGACAACAAATAACAGAACTGTCAGTGTCATCTAGTTACACTTGCTAATTTTACATATGAAGAAAACAGTCCCAAAATTTGGTGGCTTAGTTGAGTGAGGACTTGGGGCAAACCTTCTAGTCTCATTGTTTTATAAGGCAGCTGAAGAGATCACTTAGGGAGGTGGGGAGAGGTGTGTGGGACAGGGCTTATAGAGATTTGACTACCAGCACTGCCTGTGTGTGTATGTAAGAGAGACAGAGAAGACACGAATAAGAGTGCATGCATGTGAGAGAGTGTGAATGTACGCTTGTGCATGTGGGAGTGCGTGCATGATGGGGTATTTGTGTAGCTGTGTGTGTAGTTTCCTAGGTTTTTTGTAAACTTTTGGTGTTAATTTCCTCCATTTTTGGGTTCCAAGAAGAAAACTTTCACTTCTGGTGAAGAGAACCCTTGGGTGCCTAAATTCTGCCAGAATACAATGACAATGAAAGGGAGAATAAGTGGGCATTTTTCAGGAGTAGGTGGATGCTTGGTGACAGTGAATGGGTTTGACATCATACAAGTAAAGCATGCTCTGTTATTCTTTCATGTGCTTTGATACTGTAGAATTTGGTGAGGGAAACTCTCAGGTGTAAATTTTATACAAGAATTCTTACAGAGCTGAATTAATTGAATTCTTTTGACAACTATTACCTCCTAGCTGAAGTAAGTATTTATGTAGGCTACTTTTCAAAAAACACTTTTAAAAGACATATGTAAAACATAGCTGTGATTTTAAAAAATACTACAATTTCTAAATCTTTTTTTTTTTTTTTTTGAGACGGAGTCTCGCTCTGTCGCCCCGGCTGGAGTGCAGTGGCCGGATCTCAGCTCACTGCAAGCTCCACCTCCCGAGTTTAAGCCATTCTCCTGGCTCAGCCTCCTGAGTAGCTGGGACTACAGGTGCCCGCCACCTCGCCCAGCTAGTTTTTTGTATTTTTTAGTAGAGACAGGGTTTCACCATGTTAGCCAGGATGGTGTTGATCTTCTGACCTCGTGATCCGCCTGCCTCGGCCTCCCAAAGTGCTGGGATTACAGGCTTGAGCCACCGCACCCAGCCAATTTCTAAATCTCAAATCAATACGATGAGTTACTGCTTTACTAAGTAATCGATTTTGAAAACAATTAACTTGAAATCCAAGTATGAGAAAAATGGATTGAGACTTAGCTGATTTGGATTCTTTCTTTCTTAATTAAAGGCCAGTAGGGTCACTAGTCATTGGGAGCAGTAATCTCTTCTAATTTTATGCTACTTTGAATTGCTGGTGTAGCTTGATGAGGTTATTCTTCTGTGGGACTTGTGTTTTGACATTGATGCTATTAGTATAAACCAAAAAAATTGATATTCTTTTCTGATGTTTATAGGTAATTGTTGATGATAGTGAGAAGACATTTGCCTCCCCTGATAAATGGTATATTTCATGTATTTCTATTTTATTTTATTTTTTAGCTTGTTCGTTTTGGTTTAAGTAACCAGCTGGTGGTTGCTTTCAAAGAAGATAACACTGTTGCTTTTAAGCACTTGTTTTTGAAAGGATATTCTGGTACAGATGAAGATGACTACAGCTGCAGTGTATATACTCAGGAGGATGCCTATGAGAGCATCTTTTTTGCTATTAATCAGGCAAGTGTTTTGTTGTGAATGACCTATACTTTAACAATGTATTGATACGTGGCCTTGTCTTAGCAAACAAACAAAAATTATACATATGTTAAAATATTCTAATGTAAGTTTTGCAGTCTGCCAAAAAATGTTTATTGCTATTTCTGAAGCTACATTTCTTTTTTTTTTTTTTTTGAGACAGAGTCTCCCTCTGTTGCCGAGGCTGGAGTGCACTGCAAGCTCCGCCTCCAGGGTTCACGTCATTCTCCTGCCTCAGCCTCCCGAGTAGCTGGGACTACAGGCGCCCGCCACCACGCCCAGCTAATTTTTTGTATATTTAGTAGAGACGGGGTTTCACTGTGTTAGCCAGGATGGTCTTGATCTCCTGACCTCATGATCCGCCCACCTTGGCCTCCCAAAGTGCTGGGATTACAGGCCTCTGAAGCTACATTTCTACACAAAAGAGTTTCCTATTTTGACTTTTAAAAAAAGATTTATCTTTTTAATTTATCATTTCACACCTACTGCTTTTGGAAAATTACCCCAGATCAAATAGCAAGAGTAGATTTTTAATCTCAGAAGGCTTGATGAAAGCTTAGTAATAAAATCAAAGATTCCAGCCTGGCGTGGTGACTCATGCCTGTAATCCCAGCACTCTGGGAGGCTAAAGTGGGTTGATCCTTTGAGTCCAGGAGTTTGAGACCAGTCTGGGCAACATTGTGAAACCCCATCTCTACAGAAATAAATACATAAATAAATAATAAAATAAATAAATAAACAATCAGGGATTCTGTGGCCTTAATTGTGATGTTTTAGCATTAATAACCCTAGCTGAATCTCAAGAATATGGAACATAAAATAGTTGTATGTAGACAGGTCTGAGAAAGCAGATTTGTAGACTTGAAGAAATAATTTAGGAAAGAGAAACTGTTCCTGTTCTTTTCCGTTCATTCAAAAAATATTGAAGTATCTAATATGTAGCAGGTGTTATTCCAGACATTGAGGATGCAGCAGTGAATAACACAGACAAAACACCTTCCTTTATAGAGCTTGATTCTAGAAGGAAGAGTTAGACAAAAAGAAGTGAAATGTATAGTATCAAATGCTGGCTCCCTGAGAACACCACACAAAAAACATGTTGATGAGCAAAGCTGAGCTTATTACTTAGAGTGGTAAGGGAGATGCTGTATTGATCAGATGCCATATTGCCTTTGGTAAGGAGGGAGTTCTTTAATGTGAGGGGAGCTTGATTAGAATTAGGTAAGGATGATGATATAATAATTTAGGACTGATGAACATGGCAAGGTGAGGATTGGGGAGGCAGTTTCAAACAATCTTGGAGTTGTTTTCAGACAAAATCTTCCAATTGATACCTATTTCAATGAGTTTTTTTGGATGTTCCTGAAATAATACAGGGACTTTTATGGTCCAGGGCAAAAATTTTCAGCAATAGTAAAATCATATTGATGAAGACAGAACTAGTAAAGCCCTATTAGTGCAGATAGCCAACAGTAAAGCCATGTTAACGTAAGCTCAGGTAAGCTAATGTTGGTTCATGTTAGTCATTGATGTAAGCTGTGGAGTATGGATGGCTCATGTCCTCAGTAGATGTTAGAAAGTAATAACTGCTAAGGAGTAAAGCAGGGAAGGAGATGTGAAGTGCCTGGGTGTGGTGATAGATGTTTGTGATTTTCTTTCTTTCTTTATTTTTTACTGCATTTATTTTATTTTTATTTGACAGGGCATAATTGTACCCAGTTTATAGTTATGGGGTACAATGTGATGTTTTGATGTATGTTTGCAATTTTCCTTGGCTTAGGGAGGGAAGGCCTCATTGAGGTGTGGAATTGAGAGCTGAAGGAGTGAGTAAACCCAGTGGCTATGTACATGGGTCTCCAGGCAGAGGGAACAGCAAAGGCCAGAGGCAAAAATAGGCATGTGAGCTCCAGGAAGTGCCTGGAGGCCAGTGCAGCTTTGCGGCGGGGCGGGGGAGCCAAGGAACTGGAGTAGGAGATGAGGTCCTAGAGATAAGGCAGGACCTTGGCTTTGGTTGAGTGAGGTGGGAGCCGTCCATCACCATGTTTAGTTTCGAGTTCTGTGAGGCAGTGTCTTGCTGAACAACCTGAGAAGATTTCTTTGTAGTATTTTAAATCGGGAAGTTCTATTGAGGGACATGATGTAAGCAATACAAAGTAACTAAAAGTACATTCTATATGCTATAACCTCTGATCAAAGTTTTAAAAGGTCATATGTGGTTTTTTATTTGACTATTTTTTAATAGTATCATCAGCTAAAGGACATTACCCTGGGGACCCTTGGTTATGGAGAAAATGAAGACAATAGAATTGGCTTAAAAGTCTGTAAGCGGCATTACAAGAAAGGGACCATGTTTCCTTCTAATGAGACACTGAATATTGACAACGACATTGAGCTCGGTAATGCAGTGATAATTTCATGATGTGCCTTTATCGTCTTGTGGTAAGAGCAAAAATGCCCTCATGTGCTAGCAACCCAGATGGAACAACATTGCTTTAGTGACAGCTAACCTGTCAGGGGCTGACACTCCAACATTGGCCTGCAGAGGGGCTTTGGCTCAGGAAACTGTGGGGTTGTGGCGATGGGACAGGGACAGCATTTGTGGATCTATTTGGAGCAACTCAAAAGATAGTTGGTTTTGGGGTATATTCACAGGTCCTGTTTTTGGGGTTTTTTCCCCTAGGAGGGGATGATTAGGCTTTTTGAAAAAATGGTCTGTATGTGTTAAATGAAATAATATATGTAAAGATGCTTTGCACACTTGTTTTTATTATTTGTAAAATACAGAAATGCTCTTCAAAGGTGAATTGTGATTAATAACTCATTTTCTCTCTTAGGAGATCCCTTGGCAACAAGTTAATGGCTAATCAAGTCGAATTGTTTTGTGCTATTTTGTTAAGCATTTAAGAGCATACTGTATGTAAATGTGAGGTGTTTGGCTTAAGACTTTTTGTTTTTTTTTTTTTAATATTGTTTTATTATTTTATTGTTTTGTTATTCACTCAACAAACCTCTGGTGTGTAGTCATCATGTCCAGAGCACTCAGTTTTATGTGCTGGGGTTGCAAAGATTAATCAGTTGTGGCTCCTCAAGTACTAACAGTTCAGGAGTAGGGATTCTAACAGCAGTTTAAATTTAGAATACTTTTATTAAAATTAGAGTTTCACATTGTTGAGTTAATTTGATCGTACTTCCTATAATCTGATCTTAAGGTGCCTTGATGACACAACAGGAGAATACCCTATGAGACAGAGGTTTTAATGTTTCTATAGGCTGCCCACTCAGAATCTCTTCGTGAGTAAATGTGTCATGTGCTCTTGACTCTGAAAGAACCAGCCCATAAGCCAGCACATGTGGTATCTGGCTCCCACGGTGCTTTCAGAGACCATCTAGAGGAGAGTTACCTGGTTCTGTAGCTGGCAACATTGAAATGTCACTTGTCACTTGTCTTATCTCCCTGGAAGCTTCTGCTAACTTGAGATCTATTTGGTAGTCCACCTACAGGGGCTAATCCTGTTTTAATCTTTTACCTGGGTGGTCAGCTATGCTCTTCCCTGTAGGTGATTCCAGTAACTGTGACAGGAGGACTTGTCCTGTTACCCTCTGTTTCAAGTAAGCCATCTGTCCCTTGTCCTTTTAAAAATATGTGACTCTAATTGGATGTACCATACAGTGGTTTCCCAGTGATTCATATACTGTTTTTCTCAATTGATTTTTCTTGGAAAATTGATTAAAGAAATGTGACCAAAGTCATACCAGTGGCTAGATAGCACTGGCAATGCTGGAAAGCAGGATTTATTTCCTGCCCATTGGGCAGTCTTTCCCTTGTTCATTTCATTGCGCTCAGAATATGGAGTATGTTTAACTAAATGGACAGAGGTTGGTTATTAATGAGTTTATTTTAACAGAAATTGCTTAAATATGTTAATTGTATTCTTTGACTTATTAAATATAACTTGTCAAAGAGAATCTTCTGACATACCCAAAAGGTATAATGAAGATTCTTCAAATATGTGATACTAGATTTTAGGCCTTCTTTCCTTGGATATGTTGAAGGAAGCCTGCAGATACAAATAAGATTGAGTTTGACTTCATTCATTTGGCACTGTAGTTGATGTAGGTGAATTAGCAGAAGCTGTTCCAGATTAACTACTTATGAATTTTGCACTATCTTTACTATTATGGGAATCATCCTTCAGTGTTCTAAACACAGATATTTGCCTACACGCCCAGCTTTCCTGGCAGGCTTATATTTAGCTGCATAGCTGATTGTGTAGATCAAGATTAGTGTTTCCCTTAATTTATGCTAATGGGTATATCCCTCCTGGTTCTGCCTCGAGAACTACAGCTTTCCAGGTCAGCCTCATTGGGAGGACTGTTATGAATCCTGTCAAAAAAATGTTTGGCTGGGCGCAGTGGCTCACGCCCTTAATCCCAGCACTTTGGGAGGCCAAGGCGGGCGGATTACCTGAGGTCGGGAGTTCGAGACCAGCCTGACCAACATGGAGGCACCCCATCTCTACTAAAATTACAAAATTATCCAGGCATGGGCACATGCCTGTAATCCCAGCTACTCGGGAGGCTGAGGCAGGAGAATTGCTTGAACCCAGGAGGCAGAGGCTGCGGTGAGCCAAGATTGCACCATCCATCGCACTCCAGCCTGGGCAACAAGAGCGAAATTCCTTCTCGAAAAAAAAAATAACATTTGAGTAACCAACATTTTAATATAGTGTTTCATTTTCTGTAATACAATTTTTGAGTGTCTTATATTCTTTTCCACATGTTCTTAGCATGAGACATTATGACCATTTCATCATTTTTCCTGCTGTTTTAGGAACAGCAGGAATCTACCCTCCCCCTGAAAGGATTATTTCTTTGGCTGGAGTATTCTGTGAGATTCATATTCATTTGAGTTATGAGGCTGTTACTGTAGATATCAGTTTATTCTGCTTGAAGTTTGATGTTTTACTTAGGGCTTTTGCTATCTTGAAAAAACAACACAAAACGAACAAACTCAGTTTTGTTGCTACCACGTGCTTGGCGGCCTCGGCAGCAATGGCTATAAGTGGAAAGTCAGCCAGACTTCAGAGAGTTCTGAATGAATATTTAAACAAAGTGTAACCCTATAATTACAAAATCACACAAAATTTGAACAACCAAACAGACTTTTATAAGGCAAATTTTATGAATAGTGTAAAATTAACTAACAGAATTCTGTTCAATTTCTGTGAATCTAAGATACCATTTTTTTGAAAGACTCATCTGCTTTAGAGATGCTTAAAAGCAAAAAAAGTTGCATCTTAGAATAAATGAAATACAGGAGAAAAAGGCCTACGACAGTGTGTGGCACAGAGAGCTTGAACATGTTTCTTCTTTCAGAATATAGTTGTTTACTCAGATCAGTTTAACTTTTTTTTTTTTTTTAACTTCACCTTAGAATAAGAATGTTAGAGGTAGGAGGACCTTAAATATCATCATTTTGACCTTTACAGTTGAGGAAACTGATGCTCAGTCAAGGTAAGCAACTAAGTCATGTAATGATTTAGTGACAGTAGGTCTTTCCTACTGAAAACCCAGCAACATGGGCATCAGCTGGGAGTTTATGAGAAATGCAGAATCTCAGGCCATGCCCTAGAGTCTCTGAATCCAAAAGTGCTTCTTAGCAGCAAGCTCCCCAAGTGGTTCACACACGTTAAATGTTTGAAGCACTGGTTCAGTGATCTCCAACTAAAGATCTTTGACTTCACATAGACATCTTTTTTACTGACTTCATCCAATTCTTCACTGTCCATCACCATCTCCTGCCTTCAGTGCCTTCTGGATCCTACTTCAAAATCTTTGTGCATCAATATCACATTACAAAATCTGTCAGAATGCTTGCCTCTCCTCCCTTCTCAACTGGGTCCACTCAATCACCATTAGTCCCCAGCCTCTTCCATCCCTGGGTCCAGCTGATGCTTACTGGAGAAGTGTGCCAGATAGAAAGAACACCCTCATCTTCTTGCCATCATGTCTTCAAAGCTTCTTGCATAACTTCCTTCCACTTCTTTTCACCCTTGTGTTACAAAGGAGTACAGAGGTGAGGCCACAGTTAAAACCCTCACCAGAGCAGCGGGACACACTCCTTTCAGTTTCTGGGGAGTTGTGCCCTTTCTCTAGAAAGGTGTACCCAAATTTGCATCTCAAATCCAAACTTCCCTGAGCTCCACGCTCCTCATATATCCAACTGACTATCTGACAACTCCGCTGTGTTGCCTAATAGGAATTTCAAAACTGCTGTGTCTAAAACAGAACACTTTTAGCCTCCCCCATCTCCCTACCTACCCTGTGGCCCAAGCTGTTTCTTTCTTAGACTTCCCGATTTTGAAAATGATACCAACATTTTCATATCATACTGTAATAACCTTGGTTATTCAAGCCCTGTACTTGAAGTTGTCAGTTTCCCCATTTTCACTGCCACCATTGTCATCCAAGCCACTACTTGCTTAGATGGTCTCCCTGCTTCTGGTCTTGCCTCCACCAGCCTCTTCCCTGCCCTGCAGAAACTGCAGTGGTAAATCAGGTCATACCTCTTCCAGGCTTAAAAATCATTAGTGGCTTCCCATCCCATTTAGAATAAAATCCACAAGTCCTTTTAGAAACTAACCTCCTGCCTGCCTCTCCAGACCCCTGTCCTCACATTTCTGTTGTAGCATCCTTTCTGTTTGTTGAGCAAGCCAGGCTCTTTCTTGCTTGGAGGCCTTAGTGCTTGATTTTTTTTTTTTTTCCTATTTGGATCTATGCATAGCTGGTTCTTTTTCCTTTTAGGAAAAAGGTTTCAGTTCAAACATCTTTTGCACCTTTAAAGTCATTCCCTAACTATCTTTCGTAAGGTGGACTCTCCCTCTGTATTAGTCTGTTCTCATGCTGCTAATAAAGACATACCCAAGACTGGGTAATTTATAAAGGAAAGAGGTTTAATTGACTCACAGTTCTGCAGGGCTGGGGAGGCCTCAGGAAACTCACAGTCATGGTGGAAGGGGAAGCAAACACATCCTTCTTCACATGGTGGCAGGAGGGACAAGTGCAGAGCAAAGTGAGGAAAGCCTCTTATAAAACCATCAGATCTCATGAGAACTCACCCATTATCACAAGAATAGCAGCATGGGGGTAACTGCCCCCATGATTCAATTACCTCCTACTGGGTCCCTCCCACGACATGTGGGGATTATGGAAACTACAATTCAAGACGAGATTTGGTTGGGGACACAGCCAATCCATATCACCCTTTTAGTTATTCTTGTTCACTTTATCTTCAAAGTACTTCTCACACTGTGAAATTATCTTGTATATATTTTTGCTTATTGTTATTTCCCCCACTAGAATGTGAGCTCCATGAAGATGGTGACCGTGTCTGTCTTGTTCATTGCTTTAGCTTCAGTGCCTAGCACAGTGCCTGGCTTTCAGCAAATATTTACCAAATAAATGAATGAGTTGAGTACGGAGCCTGGGTCTTTGATATTCTTCTAAAATATGTGCTCAGAGGTCAACCTCCTCAGTGCACTGGTAGAGCTCAGGCTCTAGAACCAAGCACAAGTAGATTTAACTTTTGGATAGCGAGTAGCTACCTGTATGACCTTGAGGAAGTTTCTTGGCCTCTCTGGACCTTGGTTTGTTCATTTGTGAAATAACAGTAATAGTGCCTATCACACAAGATTGCTTTGAAGATTAAATAGGATGATGCATTAATTGAGATAATATATAAAGTCCAACACAGTGTCTGGTATGGAGTTAAGTGCCCAATATGTTTTTGCTATTTCTATCATCAGTCTTTTCCTCCCTAAAAACAAGTTTCTTTTGACCAACTGCCCTCACTGTACTCATTAAGGTCTAATCAGGAAAACCAACATTGAATTGTTTTCTGACACTAATACTCCATCTGCCAAACACAGGGAGACATACTGTCTGCAAATGTCTTTTAAAAATATTATCTCTATTGAGTTGTCTGTTCAGCTCTGGGCCCTGTTTTTGGCTCAGGACATCTAATTTTCAGTAAACATAAGTGTATCCCGTGTATCAGGACATATTTTGAGTGCCAGCTAGATGCTAGGCAGTGGGTGTTTAGCAAGGTGCAACAAAGTTGTGCTCTTGATCTCAAAGACCTTATACTCTAGTTGGAAGGATAAATAGGCAAATGAAGAGTTGCAGTTGTGGAATAAAGCTTTTAAAGAATCAGTCAGTGAGTTTTCCAAGATTCATGGACACCTACTAGGTGCCAGGCACTGCACAAGGACCCAACTGCACAAGGCCCCGACTTTTCCATTTCAAAGTCAGCATGGAAGGGGCAGCAACAGCCTGGGCGAGGGTCACCCATGCTGGTTTCATACCAATTCTGTCACTAGGTTTCTGTGGCCTTGAAAGGTGCTTGTCTTTAGAGCTCCTTGTTTCCTGTTTGTCTTTAGAGCTCCTTGTTTCCTTGTTTCCACCTTTGTAAAACAAGGGTGTTAGCCTACACAATAATGAGACTAATTTTTATGTGAGGTTCTTGGACTCATTCTTCTATCATTTACAGCTCATAATTTGTTTTTACTTGAATACAACCTGTGTTCTTTTTCTTTCTCTTTATTTTTTTTACTTTGAAAAAGTGCCAGACTTACCAGAAAAGTTACAAAATAGCACAAAAATTGCCTGTGTACCCTTCATCCAGATTTCCCCAATACTAACTTTTTTTTTTTTTTTTTGGAGATGGAGTTTTGCTTTTGTCACCCAGGCTGGAGTGCAGTGGTGTGATCTCGGCTCACTGTAACCTCCGCCTCCCAGGTTCAAGCAATTCTCCTGCCTCAGCCTCTTGAGTAGCTGGGATTACAGGCGCCCACCACCATGCCCAGCTAATTTCTGTATGTTTAGAGAGACAGGGTTTCACTATGTTGGTCAGACTAGTCTTGAACTCCTAACCTCATGATTTGCCCACCCTGGCCTCCCAAAGAGCTGGGATTATAGGCGTGAGCCACCGCACCTAGCCAGTACTAACGTTTTATCACATTTGCTTGATCATTCTTTCTATGCATAAACATTTCTCCTGGAGGTGCAGACATGCTGTTCCTTTGCCCCTAAATACTTCAGTGTGCATTTCCCCAAAAAGAGAACATTCTCCTGCACAACCACTATACAGTCCTCAAAATAATGAGTTAACATTAGTACAATACTATAATCTATAAACCCTATTCACATTTCATAAATTTTCCTAATGTTCTTTATCATAAAATGCAAACTGCACTCAACTCCAGGATCCTATTCAGGATAACATCTGGCATTTAGTTGTCATGTCGAGTCTTTTTAGTCTAAAGTTTCTTGGATTTTGTTTGTTTAACTTTTATGATATTGATACATTTAAAGAGTAGAACGTCTCTCACATTGGGTTTTTCTGTTTCTTCATGACTAGATTGGGGTTATACATTTTTTGGCAGGAATACCACACAAGTGATGTCATGCTTCTCAGTTCATTGTATCAGGAGGTACATGTCTGTTTATCTCATTATTGTGATGTAACTTTGATCACTTGGTGATCAAAGTTGTGGTGCCTGCCAGGTTCTCCTCTGTGAGGTTACTCTCATTTTTCCTGAATAATTGGTAAGTATTTTCTAGGGAGATACTTTGAAACTCCCTAAGTAATCTGCTTCTTGTCACACTTTTGCCCACTAGTTTTAGCACCCAATTCCTGCCTGAAACAACCATTTCTTGTTCTTTCATTGCCCTAGATTGTGTTCACTTAGACCTTCAGGACATTTCCAAGGACCCTCCGGACTGGAAGAACTCATCATTCTTCAGACTGGAATTTTATCGGTAAATACATTTTAAAGCGTTATTCCCCAAGAGATGAGGGTGGGAGAAGGATAATAGTATAGTAAGATTATGACAATTTATACCTTTCAATATATTTTATTCAGGCTCTTACAGGTTGAAATCTCCTTTCGTCTTAAAGGCATTGACCTACAAACAATTCATTCCCGTGAGTTACCAGACTGTTATGTCTTTCAGAATACGGCAAGTATCTTTGTTTTACTATCCACTTCCTTTTATTTTTCCCTACACTTTTTGTTGATGCAGGGTATAAAACGCAGCAGCCTACAGATGTGTTAAATGCAGTCGTGTTTAAAACAGATGTAGTGATACAATATGGTACTTTTTTTTTTTTTTCCAGAGACATAGTCTCGCTCTGTCACACAGGCTGGAGTGCAGTGGCGAGATCTCAGCTCACTACAATCTCTGCCTTCCAGATTCAAACAGTTTTCATGCCTCAGCCTCCCAAGTAGGTGGGATTACAGGCATGTGCCACCACACCTGGCTAACTTTTTTGTATTTGTATTAATAGTAAAGACAGGACAGAGTTTTGCCACATTGGCCAGGCTGGTCTCGAACTTCTGGCCTCAAGTGATCTGCCCACCTAGGCCTCCCAAAGTGCTGGGATTACAGGCATGAGCCATCATGCCCAGCTTCATTATGGTATTGTTGATCCAGAGACCATTACTTCTGAAGATGAAGCAAGCCCTTTTCAACTTTTAAAAACTAAGTTTCTACATTGAAAAGAAGAGCTTAAACAATTGGCTTTGACTTTCTACTCTCCTAATACATTTTTAAAATTGTTTATGCCGGGTGCAGTGGGTCATGCCTGTAATCCCAGCACTTTGGGAGGCCGAGAGGCGGATCACGAGGTCAGGAGATGGAGACCAGCCTGGCTAACACGGTGAAATCCCGTCTCTACTAAAAATACAAAAAAATTAGCTGGGCGTGGTGATGGGCGCCTGTAGTCCCAGCTACTAGGGAGGCTGAGGCGGGAGAATGGCGTTATCCCGGGAGGCGGAACTTGCAGTGAGCCAAGATCGCGCCACTGCATTCCAGCCTGGGTGACAGAGCAAGATTCTGTCTCAAAAAAAAAAAAAAAAAAAAAAATTGTTTATGAAGGTGTTTTAAATGTCTATAGTACTCTTCCCAGCTTTAGAGGAAGGTCTTTGCAAGTGTTGTAGCAAATGTTTTCAAACCTCGAGGCATAAACTGCTCCACTGATGGGAAGACCAGTCTGCAAAGTAGCAGTTGTTTCTCTTTTTATTTTGGGAGGGGGCATGTATGTATAGTAGAAGAGATGGTGCACTTTTATGGGGAAGTAAGCTGTCTTCTCATTTTCATAGACTTTCTTTCTTTGTCCTTCTCTCCTTCCTTCTTTTTCTCCCTCCCTCCCTTTCCTGTTCCTTAAAGGACTAAACTGAATGCCTAGCTGAAAGTTGTATATACTGTCCTTTAGCAATTCAGAAGAGTGTTTCATTCAACTATCAATAAATACTTAATGAGTCCTTACTATGCACCAGGCATTTTGCTATGCCCTAGAGGCACAGTGGCCCTCAGGAAAGCTTACAGCCTAGTGGGGGAAACAGAAAAACAAGTAAATGAAATAAAAGTAACTACTGATTGTGATATGTGATAAGGAAGAATGTCTCCAGCTGCAAGCTCTCTGGGGTGGGTGGGCCAGAGGAGCACTGGGAGCATCTGCAGGGATGAGGGAAGGGCAGGAGAGGAGCATGGAGTTTGGTCTGCAAGGATGAGGTCATTGATGACTTTGTCATGATATGGTCAGAAGTGTGGGTTTAAAAATATTGGCTTTTCATTTTTATTTTGTTCTTTGGACTTCTATCTGCTTTGAGAAAAGCATTTTAGGGGCCCTCCTGGAGGAAACAGAGACCTTGAGTGCCAGTGCTAGTGAAGGTTTAGTTATAACTTACAGGTATAGAAATGAAGATGGTATGGTTTAATTCTCAAACCTCTGGTTTGAGTGTGTGATCTTCTTGGGCAGACTTGGCTTGTGTTCAGAGACAGGCAGGTGCATGTGGATTTGATCATCTACATATCCGCTCTCCAAGCTCTGCCAGTGAACTTTTTGGTTTTCTTAACGTGTTCACCCTAATAAGTACTTGGCATATATCACTTATAAACTGTAAATGATTTAAATGATTGATTTAAATTTCATAAGGTAGAAGATTGAGGGCATTTGGACATCTTAAGTTCAGCCTGCAGTCTTGGAGCAATCTTTGTTCTTTCTGAAAGCATTATATGTAGCTCTTGAAACAAATAGAAAAATAATTTCTAGCCTAACAAAAACTAGAATTTCATACCCAAAGAACTAAATTGAAGGAAATGTTTTAAAATTCAATTCAGAATAATAAATGAGATCATTGTGTTCTTTCAAAGATTAGTTAATTTTGGTTTTTATTCCTAGGACTGTTTGTCTGTTTTGCTCTAGGATTTCTCTGAACCAGATATCTGATATCCTGTATTTAGTAAAACTTCACATATTAGCCCTTTTAATCATATTTGTTTCATTAATAACAGAAAGTTGTGAAGAAATCCTGTGATGTGAACATTTTCATTGGTATAATTCTCTTTGTTGCCTTATGTCTTTATTGTGAGTTCCTTAGCCTCTAATTGTACTTGTGTTTGTTTTTTACAATTTTGACTTAAAACCTTCATACTAGAGGACTGAGAGATTTATATAGCACCATTCCAATACGGGGGTATTCTGAATTTGATTATAAACTTACCTGTACTGTTGAGTTTTATGCTTTCACATGTTTTCATGATCACAATTATTGTTTGTTTCCAGTTTTAGTGCTCCCTCAAGCATTTCTTGAAAGGCTAGTCTAGTGGTGAAAATTCCCTCAGCTTTTGCTTGTTTGGGGAGGGCTTTATTTCTTCTTCATTTCTGAAGGATGGCTTTGCTGGATATAGTATTCTTGACGACAGGTTTTTTTTTTTTTTTCTTTAAACTCTTTGAATATATCATCTCATTCTCTCCTGGCCTGATGTTTTTCTCTTGCAGCTTTTTTTTTTTTTTTTTTTTGAGACAGAGTCTCCATCTGCCATCCAGGCTGGAGTACAGTGGCACCATCTCTGCTCACTGCAAACTCTGCCTCCTAGGTTCACGCCATTCTCCTGCCTCAGCCTCCCGAGTAGCTGGGACTACAGGCACCCGCCACCATGCCCGGCTAATTTTTTTGTATTTTTAGTAGAGATGAGGTTTCACCATGTTGGCCAGGATGGCCTCCATCTCCTGACCTTGTGATCTTCCTGCCTCGGCCTCCCAAAGTGCTGGAATTACAGGCATCAGCCACTGCGCCCAGCCTACTTGCAGCTTTTAGAATTATCTCTATCTTTGACTTTTGACAGATTGATTATAATGGGCCTTGGAGAGAATCTTTTTGGGGTGAATCTAATTGGGGATCTTTGAGCTTCCTAGATCTGGATGTTCATATCTCTCCCAAGACTTGAGAAGTTTTCAGCTGGGTTATTTGAAAAGACCCGTCATCAATTTCAGAAATTCTTTTTATTTTATTTATTTATTTGTTTTGAGACAGAGTCTCAATCTATTGCCCAGGCTGAAGTGCAGTGGTGTGAGCTCAGCTCACTGCAACCTCCACCTCCTAGATTCAAGTGATTCTCATGCCTCAGCCTCCCCAGTAACTGGGATTACAGGCACCTGGAACCGCACCCAGCTAATTTTGTATTTTCTATTAGAGGTGCTGTTTCACCATGTTGGCCAGGCTGGTCTCAAACTCCTGACCTCAAATGATCCACCTGCCTTGGCCTTCCAAAGTGCTGGGATTACAGGCTTGGCCACTGTACCCGGTCAGAAATTCATTTTTCTTTGCTCGATGTAGTCTGTTGTTGAAGTTCTCAATTGTAATTTTTTTATTTCACTCATTGAGTTATTCAGCTCCAAGATTTCTGTTTGGTTCTTTTTTATGCTATGTCTCTCTGTTGAATTTCTCAATCAAATCATAAATTATTTTCCTGGTTTTATTGAATTGCTTGTATTCTCTTATATCTCACTCAGCTTTCTTAAGATCATTATTTTGAATTTTTCAGGCATTTTCTTTGGGTCCTGCTACTTGAGAATTATTATATTCCTTTGGGTGTCCTGTTTTCTTGCCTTTTCATGTTTCTTGTGTCCCTACATTGTTATCTATGCATCTAGTGAAATAGTTGCTTTTTCCAATTTTATGGAATAGCTTTCCTAGGGATAGACTTTTTCCTGTAGATGGGCCCTAGAGTGTTGGTTGACTATAGTGCATTGGCTTTGGTTCTGGGCATACTCAGTAGTGTGGTGTCCATGCAGTTTGTTCAGTTGTGCTCCTTGTCAGTGATGTCTGTGATTGGCTCAGTGGCCTAGGCTGAGGGAGTTTTTAATAGCAATGGCACAGTTTTGCTGGAGGCAGGGATGCCAGATTGGTTGTTGGGCTGGACATGTGCATACATAATAAGCAGCAGGCTGTGTGGCAGGCTCTTCAACTGGGTAGGGGCAATTGCTGCCCAGCTGGCTGTCAGGTCAGGTGTGCATGGTTGTGGTGGGCCAGTAGGCTGTGAGGCAGGCTCTTTAGAGATGTGAGGTCACTGCTGAACTGGCTGTCAGGCCTGTGTGGGGTGTGGAGAGATAGCCAACTGTGTGGCCCAAGTGTGTGGGGTGTGGAGAGATAGCCAACTGTGTGGCCCAAGTGTGTGGGGTGTGGAGAGATAGCCAACTGTGTGGCCCAAGTGTGCACAAGCACAGCACACCAGCCAGCTGTTTGGTAGCTTCCTGCTGTGCAGTTCTGCCTGTTCCCAGGGTCAGGGGCAGGAATGGGTGCTGCATGGATTCAGATGTCAGGGTCTCAGATGTTCCATCAGGTCTAGGCTCTGGGCAGCCAGGGTCATGGTGTTGCATGCACCTGTGTAAACATGGTGGAATAATGGCAGGACTTCAGGAATGGAGAGAGACAATGAGTACTGGCCCCCAGGGCAGAACACACTCTGTTTGCGATCTGGTCTCTAAATGGCGTCATGCCATAGCAGCTTAGGTCACAGAAGTGAAGAGTGCGCACAATGTGTGCTTCCACTCTGGGGCAACATGGCTGCATGAACTCCCAGCACCTCTCCAAACCGGATTCAAAGCCTGTGAGGACTGGAGGGCTCTCCTGCAGCAATGACTGCTGGCATTCTGTGGCCGTAATGAGGACCACTGGAGTCTCTAGCCTAACGTTTTCCTGTCCAAAGAGATCCCCCTGGCTCTAAGCTGATCCTGGCTGGGGAGACAGTGTGGCAGAGGCCAGGTGCCTTGCTCCCCTTCCTGTGTTGCTGTCCTGGGCTTTCATGCTCCACAGGATTTTGCTGCTACCCTGGTGCTCTCCAGTGTACTTCTTCAGTGATTTCAGTCAAAATATAGTTGTTTATTCATTATCTTGGTCCCTTTGTGTGTGTGTGTGTGTGTGTGTGTGTGTGTGTTTGTGATGGGGGTGGGGTGCAGGAAGTGAATGTCAAGTAATTCTAGTCAGCCATTTTGCTGGCCTGTGTAATTCTCCTTGGATCAGCACACTATTTGGATGCCAGTGATTTTTTTTTTTAAGCAGAGTTGATCTAACATGTTATACTTTCTTCTATGTTGTAATCTTTCTATACATTTGTGTCTCCAGATTATCTTTGACAATAAAGCTCACAGTGGCAAAATCAAAATCTATTTTGACAGTGATGCCAAAATTGAAGAATGTAAAGACTTGAACATATTTGGATCTAGTAAGTATGCTATATACTTGCCCATGGGGATTATAGATGATTTTTAACACTTTATTTTGGGGCTTGGGTATTTAAATGGTTTGTTTGCGTGGTAATAGGAAGAAAACCACATCTTGAGCATTAGATTCTGTAAAAAATATCCCAAAGCCTTGTATTTTTGTTTAATTCAGCAAATGTTTACTATACACCTCTTAGAAGAGGTAGCATGACTGAGTGGTTAGGAGCTTAGCTCTGGAGCCAGATTGCCTGGGTTTCAGTTCCAGTTCTATTTACTGTGCCTGTGATCTTGGACAAATTACTTAACCTGTCTGTCTCAGTATCTTTCTGTGTAAAATGAGAGTAATAGTATAGGTTGAGCATCCCAAATCGGAAAAATCTGAAATCACAATCCTCTGAAATTTGAGACATTTGAGCACTGACATGACCAAAGCTCAAAGGAAATGCTTATTGGAGCATTTTGGATTCTGAATTTTTGGATTTGGGATGCTCAACCTGTAAGTATGAGGCAAGTATTCCAAAATCAAAAGAAATCTGAGATATTTTTGGTCCCAAATCATTCTGGATAAGGCATACTCAGCCTAAACTTACCTTTCAGGATATTGAATATTAAATGAATTAGTATATAAAGCAAAGTACTGAACACAAGAGTTGGCACATATTAATTGCTAGGCATTATGGGAAAAGGAAGAAAATGCCTGAGTGAGGGAGACTGACATGCTAATAAAATCTGTGATGTGTTATGGAGAGAAATAAGGGTATACATACAAAAAGCATGAGGAGAAAAAAAACAAAGGTTAAGTTTGAGTGGGGCAGAGTGGGAAAAGAAATGATTCTTGGAGAAGATATGCTTTGATCTGAGCCTTGGACAGTGGGGAAGGATCAGGGCCTCCAGAGCCCAGAGAGCAACCGCTGCAAATGCTGAGTCATTTACTCAGTCATCGCTGGGAAAATATCACTTAATCCACATGTTTAAAATGGGCTACTGCTGAGCATGGGGGCTCACACCTGTAATCCCAGCACTTTGGGAGGCCTAGGCAGATGGATCACTTGATGTCAGGAGTTCAAGATCAGCCTGGTCAACATGACAAAACCCTGTCTCTACTAAAATTACAGAAATTAGCCGGGCATGGTGGCACACGCACCTGTAATCCTAGCTACTTGGGAGGCTAAGGCAGGAGAATTGTTTGAACCTGAGAGGCAGAGGCTGCAGTGAGCCGAGATCACACCACTGCACTCCAGCCTGGGCAACAGAGTGAGACTTTGTCTCAAAAATAAGTAAAATAAATTTAAAAAATTAAAATAAAATAAAATATAATGGGCTACCTATGGAACCTGTTCCGTTTGCTCAGTAAAGAATTGGGATGATGTTAATGATGGATGCTCAGTACTTTTTATTTTGCAAATTTTGTTTAAATGACTTTCCTTTTGACCAGGTTATCAGAATGAAAGAAAATGTAAAATACCTGTGGCTCCTGTTTTAGAGTTGTTTTAAGTTATATTTGATCTGTCGCCTGCTGCTTTTCAGATGTATGATATGTCCTGATGATTTGAAGTTTTGGTTTCAATAATTTCACCGACTGACTTAAGCCTCCGATTATAGTTTTGGTTTCTGTTAAAAAGTGGTTACTATTCCCCAGCATACACCACTCTCTTACAGACACGCAGAGATCAAGGGCATATTTTCTAATTAGGTCCAAGTATAGGTTGCAGTTTTCTGTGAAAAGAAACTAACCTTTGTCAAATATATGATTTGGAACATCATTATAAAGATCAAAATGATGGAAATTTCCAAACTAGGCAGTCAAATGCATTTCCAGAACAGTGAGTTTTTCACTTCTGCCTACAGCCCTCCTTGCAACATTAGGGGTTTTCCTAGATTGTGCTCAGAAGAGAGTATCTCTAGCCCCCTCCTGTGGCCAATGGGGAGAAACACAAGCCTCCTAGACGATTGGGTAAAAGTTCTTTAAGATTTACATATTCTTCTAGAGCTGTGTCTTAAGAAACCAGGTTCTATCACTAGGAGAATGTGAATTTAAAATAAGATGATGTGATGTGAAAGCGTTGAAAAAATTATGTTTGGAAACCATCTTAGGAAATGGACTTTTTCAACCCTATATGAAGCTGTCTGGTGGATTGAGATTGCCTTGGCTTTGGGGGAAGTGGACAAGGACAAGGGTGACATCTGGTGGGACACTTACACTATTTCTAAAAGTTCAGAGGCTCATTCACACCCACATGCTAACCCCCAGGCTCCTCTCTCCTTTGTCATTACCCATATTGAAGCAAATGCAGGTGAATGTCCTTTTTCACATACAAACCTCGTGCTGCCTTTTGTGACTCCCAAGTCCCCTTTCTAAATGTGCCATATCTTCATTTAACTTGGTTTCATAAACACAGGAATTTGGAGATGAGGAGCTTGGGGAGGAATTAGCGGGATTCCTCTTTGGCGGGATTCCCCAATGATGGGTGATACAAATTGTGGTTTTTTTTGAGATGGAGTCTTGCTCTGTCACCCAGGCTGGAGTGCAGTGGCACAATCTCATCTCACTGCAACCTCCACCTCCTGGGTTCAAGCGATTCTTCTGCCTCAGCCTCCCAAGTAGCTGGGACTATAAGCACACACCACCACACCTGACTATTTTTTGTATTTTTAGTAGAGATGGAGTTTTATCATATTGGCCAGGCTGGTCTCGAACTCCTGACCTTGTGACCCGCCCACCTCGGCCTCCCAAAGCGCTGGGATTACAGGCATGAGCCACCACGCCCGGCCAAGATGTTCATAAAATACATATTTTTAGCATACCAAACCAGTCTTCTCAGTAATTCAAAGAAAAACAGAATCCTATACTGGATTCTGTTAGGAGGACTGGTTTCTGTTTCTAAGCCTGCTTGTTTTCCCATCTGTAAACAAGGTCCAATACAAGCTGCCTTGGAGATTTGTGTTCTAGTTATATGTCAGAAAGGAAAGTACTAGATGCTGTCCTTGCATTTCATAAGATTTTCAGTTTTATCTTCCCAAGAGCTGCCCATGTTTCCTCTGCTCCATTCCATGGATCCAAGGGAAAGAAAAATCTTGCATTATGCTAGAGCTAAGTTGTTTTCTTACCTACCCATTAGATGATACCTCAAGATAACTTTCTTGACTGTAAATGGCTAAAGGTAAATGTAAGTGCTAGGCACTGGGCACTATTCTAACAAGCCCTTCACATAGACAGTTCTACCTGGTTCTCATGACAGCCTCAGGAACGGGTACACTTGCCCTTCCCATTTTGTAGGTGGCACATCTGAAGCTTAGTAAGATGAAATCATTTGCTCAGAGAGTTGCATTTACCACGCTGGCTGTCTGCTCACCACCCACTGTAGGAGCTGCTTTGCCCTCAGACACTCATGCCAGTATCACTCACATCTTTGCATTATTAAGTCCATAGACAGTCTGGCATTTCTCTTCAACACTGTCTCTGCAGAGGTTTCCGTGGAGGACTCTGACCGCAGTCTCTCCTCTGAAGGTCACCTGTCCCTGGTTTTATTTGCTTCTCCTCTGGCCTTTCTGCTCCATCCCATTCCTGAGCTCATCTCCTTTTCTAATTCTCAAACGTTGCTCCCCATCCCTGACCGCTGTCCTTCCCAGTGGTCTCTCTGAGGGGCCATCACTCCCATGGCTTTAACTGCCACTGAATAGTCCTCTCTTGTCATGAATATCCAGAGTAAACTCGGTTTACCCAAGACAGGGAACCAGGAATCATTCTTGGTTGTCCTTCTTCCTTATTCCCCAACTTCAGTTAGAGACCAGGCCATGACTCTCTCCATCTCTTAAGATTCTGTGCCCTCTTTTGCTCTGCCCCAACTTAGCTCAGACCATCATAAGTTCTAACTTAGATTATTCAGTGGTCTTATGTTCTGCTCGATTCTCTTCATTTATTTGTAAGTATACTGAAGCATTATACTAGCCACAGGTGCTGTATTCAACACTACTGTCTTAGTCTGTTTTCTGTTACTTATAACAGAATGCCTGAAACTGGCTAATTTATAAAGAAAAGAAATGCATTCTTTCAGTTCTGGAACCTGAGAAGTCTAAAGTCGGAGGACCACTTCTGGTGAGGACCTTCTTACTGGTTGGGAGTCTCAGTGGAGTCCCAAGGCAGTGCAGGGCATCACATGGTGAGGAGGGGGAGCATACTAGCTCAAGTCTCTCTTCCTTTTCTTATGAAGCCACCAGAGCCATTCCCTTGACAACCCATTAATCTATGAGTGGATTAATCCATTTATGAGGGCAGAGACCTCATGACCCAATCACCTCTTAAAGGCCCACCCTCTCAATCCTGTCATATTGGGGATTAAATTTCAACACGAGTTTTGGAGGAGACAGATAATTCAAACCATAGCAACTACCTGTGGGCCCTGCTTTACAGAGCCTGTCACTTGATGGGGAAGATGGACACTGAATCATAAAATAAGTAACCGCTGTGAGTGTTTGCTATTGTTAATTTCCTTGGCTGTTTCATGGGCTCTTTGTATATGAACTTGCATAATTTTCACGTTTTCTTTCCCAATTTTCATAATGTTCTTGCCCATTCTACACTGTCTCTGTGCTCTGTGCTGTGCTGCCTTTGCAGATGTAATGAAAGGTCAGTGTTTGTTGTGCAGAGGAAAGTAAAGGAGCTCTGGGTATGTGTAGTAACCAAAAACCATGAAAGTATATAGGAGGGGGCTAATAGAGATGAGAATTTAAGGAATTATTTTCTGAGATGGGAGATTTTTCATTTGGAACTTGAGCCTGAAAATAAATAAGCTGAGCTGTGTGTGTGGAGCAGTGCTGTTCCAGGCAGATGGATCAGCATGTGCAAAGTCCCTGAGGCGAGAGCAGGAGAGAAGGAAGACCAGTGTGACTGCAGGGTGGAGAAGGCGGGGGGCAGGCAGGAGAGAGCCGGGCTGGGATCGGAGACACTACTGTGAAGTCTGAGAGAAACCAAGGTTGGATTCATCTCCTTCCCGTACATTCTTCTTGCTGCTGTGTGCTCCAAACCAAAAATCTGATTACCACTCCCCTCCTTGCTTCTGTTCCAAGAAGCAATTTTCTCTCCGTATGGAGAAGGCTTATAAGATTGGCACTATGTCCTGGGAAAGTGCACAGTGAGGTTGAGAAGCAGAAGTGGGGATTCTCAGTGGTGGTGGTTTAATTTGTTTGATCTCTTATTAATGGTGAACTGGATGTCTCTGCTTTTATGTGAAAGAACTCAGAGTATGTCAGCAGTTTTGCCTTTTTTTGAATGGAGCCCAAATGGATCACTTTCCGTTGAATTCTATTCTACAGTAAATATTTGTATATCAATTTGAGTGCATTTATTAGCAGCTCACTTTTTTTTTTTTTTTTTTTTTTTTGAGACGGAGTCTCGCTCTGTCACCCGGGCTGGAGTGTAGTGGTACGATCTCAGCTCACTGCAAACTCTGACTCCCAGGTTCACGCCATTCTCCTGCCTTGGCCTCTTGAGTAGCTGGGACTACCGGCACCCACCACCATGCCCGGCTAATTTTTTTTGTATTTTTAGTAGAGACGGGGTTTCACTGTGTTAGCCAGGATGGTCTCGATCTCCTGACCTCATGATCCACCCACCTCGGCCTCCCAAAGTGCTGGGATTACAGGCGTGAGCCACCGCGCCTGGCCCAGCTCACATGTTTTTAAATGTATAGCTTTATATCAGGGAATGTTTTGCCTTATATATGTACTTCTGAATGAATGCAGTGTGATTTGTTTCTGATATTTACCATTTTGTTTTAACAACAGACAAAACATTTATTGTTTGAACTTCTTTTCACACTGCCATTTTGTTTGGAAATTATTCTCTGGTAAGGCGTGTTTAACATTTGAATTCTGTTTTTATTCCTCAGCTCAGAAAAACACTCAGTATGTCCTGGTGTTTGATGCGTTTGTCATTGTGATTTGCTTGGCATCTCTTATTCTGTGTACAAGATCCATTGTTCTTGCTCTAAGGTTACGGAAGGTAAGAGCGTGTTCACATTCTCTTCCTGCCCTCTTGGCCTGCACCCTCAGTTTGCTCAAGCAGTGGACCACCGATGTTGTGCCACCTGCCTTTTCTGGAGACTTTTGACTAAATTAGATTCCTCTGAGTAGTTGCCCCCTGTGAGGCATTTATCAGCCTGAGGTGTAGGAAGTGAGTAAAGGCTCTGAGTATGTCAGGTGGCATCAGATAATTATCCTGCTTAAAACTGAGCTGATATGTACAGACGCACAGTGGTGAACTCTCAGGCTTTTGAATGTTTCCAGAATAACGAGGCCCTCTTCAATTCAGGAGTGATCTGAAGAACAGAGTAATAGCATGTGTGGGTTTCATCTTTTGTCTTCAAATCAGAGTTCATTTTGACAGGGAGGCATGGTAAATGGATTATAATGAAGCATAAAATACTTTATTCTGTTTTTCAAATAGTTTTAAAATTCTCCCTTGAGTTTCATTTTGCCTTTTTACCCTCAGGGCTCTTATGAATATATACTTCTGCTCCCCACATATCTTATTCTGACTGTGGCATGTGTACAAATGCACACTGGGGGCGGGGAAATCGGAAGTCCACAGAGTACCATTTGTGGAGCAGGGACGTAGTCTGCATTTGATTTTGCCTAATCCTGACCTTTGTCAATGTCCTTTGTAAATATCCACCTCTCTTACATGCTCCCCGATCTCCTTGATATTATGAATGCAAAGTTAAGGTCCTGTCCCTGCCAAGGTGATGGGGCTCATATTTGAGCACGCACTCTGGAGCCGGCCTGCCTGGACACGGATCCTGGCTTAGCCTCTCGGTGCCTCAGTTCCCTTCTCTGGGTGATAGACCTGCTAGTACCTGGTTCATTGGGTTGTCATCGGAATGGATGTGTTGGTAATATGAAAAGTATTTGGAACATACTTTATGTTAGCTATGACAAGAGCCTGCTGGAGTTACCATGTACGTATTTCATATTTGAGGTAACTTCACAGACAATTGAATGCTTACTCAGATTACGGGGAAAAGTGTGTGCTATAACCTCCACTTTCGAGGTGGATCTGGCAAGTTGGAAAGGCAATGCCATGTCCTTTTACAGGTGAGAGCACTGTTTTGCACTTGCCTTCTCCTTCCAGAACGCAGTGTGGTTTATAAGAAACACTTCTTTAAATGTTTGCCTTAGAGATTTCTAAATTTCTTCCTGGAGAAGTACAAGCGGCCTGTGTGTGACACTGACCAGTGGAAGTTCATCAACGGCTGGTATGTCCTGGTGATTATCAGCGACCTAATGACAATCATTGGCTCCATATTAAAAATGGAAATCAAAGCAAAGGTGAGGGAAGCCCATTTAAAGTCTCTGTTCTTCATCTTCTCCTGGACGGCCACAAGCATCTTAAGACATATGATCCTTTGGAGACAACTTTGATTCTCGTGTCTTCCCTTTTCTCACACTGGCACAAGTGAGGCCTCCCCTGACTTGGTTCCTTGTGAAGGAAAAGTAAGGAAGCCGATGTTCCATGGAACGAAACTTGGCAACAGCTCCAGAATAATGACAAAGCTTGAGAAGATTGATTATTTGGGCCTCATTTTTCTTTTTAAGTTGCAAAAGGAGCAGCTTATCCATAAACCAGTCCTTTCCCTGAACCTGCATGTCAAGAGCTTGTGGGGAGGATCTGTGACCATTGGGTGCTCTGACAGATGGGGTGAGGGCAGGAATGTCGGACTCCCTGCTAAAGCCTGACCCTTTGTATAACTTAGTTGATTTGATCTCCTACCTAAGCCTCAACTCCTCCTTCACCACACTGTTCTCCTGTCCACTCTCTGCTGTTGGTCCGAGGTCCCACCAGCCATACCTCCTAACCCTGACACGCCTACTCCTCCCCTATCCTGGCTCCCTCTGGCTTTCTTCAGGCTTTTTCTTCTCTGGTCAACTGTGACAGCAGTCTCCTCACCAGCTTTCCCATCTTCTGCTTCATACCTCTGAGATCCATTCACACAGCTGTCAGAGGGACTTTTCTGAAAGTGTCTATCCGGCTGTTACCATCCTTTCTACCTCTTGGGGCCTACTTTGGGATGAAGCAGCTTCCCTTGGCAGCATGGCCTCTGGGGTCATCATCATCCAGCTCTGCCTCTTGCTCCTGCCCCTGCTCTGACCCTGCCCCTCTAGGATGTCTTGTCAGCTTTGTACCTTTGTTCAGCCTTTGTCCACTTATCTGTGGCGCTTCCTCCCAGCCTGTCCTGCAGGCCCGTCTTTGCTCTGGGGTCGTGTCTGTGGTGTCCCTCTGTGATGAGCTAGGCATTGTGTCTTTCACTGCATTTAGCATATTGTATGAGAATCATGTTTGTGTGTTTGTCTTTTCAACTAGCCCTAGAATTTCCTGAGAGCTGGAGCTGTGTTAGCAAATCATGTGGGAGTTTTCTTTCAAAAGCGGCTGAATTGTATTGTTTGGTACTTAACAAACACCATTAATTTATATCCTCGAATGCCTAGGTCAGTGATAAATGTAATTTCTATTTGAGAGTATTATTTGGAAAAAAATTGAGTTCAACCTAAATGTAATTTCTATTTGAGTGTATTATTTGGAAAAAAAATTAGTTCAACCAGTTGAAATACTAAAAGAAAATGAGAAACATATTTGGAATTATATCTGTTTTCTTTTTTTCTTTAAAAAAAACCTCTCACTATCACCTATAGGAAGGCAGATAGTTCTTTTTTTATTAATTGGTTTAATGTAAGGTTAATAAGCTAAGTGGAGTCAAATATTTTACTCATTTCTCTCTCTTTTTTCATTCCTTAGAATCTCACAAACTATGATCTGTGCAGCATTTTCCTTGGAACCTCTACGCTCTTGGTTTGGGTTGGAGTCATCAGATACCTGGGTTATTTCCAGGCGTATAATGTAAGGATGTGGCACTGGGTAGTGCCACTGCAGTTGAGACTCATTTATTCTTTGGGTTCTAATAGCTACGTTTTCATTTCACCCATTCTGTTCATTCTTTTTTTCAGGTGCTGATTTTAACAATGCAGGCCTCACTGCCAAAAGTTCTTCGGTTTTGTGCTTGTGCTGGTATGATTTATCTGGGTTACACATTCTGTGGCTGGATTGTCTTAGGACCATACCATGACAAGGTGTGTAGCACACATTCCTCCTTCTGCACATGGGGCACGTGGGACCCGTGAACATGGGTTTCTAGCATTTACTTGCTTCCTGGTCTTCTCTAGCACGTACCCTTGACATCAATAAGCATGTATCTTTGTATCCATTTTCTTTTTCCTTTTTTCCTTTTCAGGATATAGAAGTGACTACAGGATATTGAAACAAGAACTGTACAAGACTAGAAAGCATGTATTATAGTTGTCTGGGACTGGCTTAAGGGGTCACATGGTTACCCGGTGATCATCAAATGGGAAATGTTTGGACATGAGATCACTATATTAAAAATGAAAATTAGGAAAATTATTATAAAAAATTTCCAATTTAAAGTATTATGTTTTTCGTCCAAGTTAATTGAGAAGAATGAAGATGGGCAGAGACTGCCTAAAACGACCATAATAGGTTTATGATAGAAATGGTGACACGTCTTGTCTCTGCAGATGGTTTTGATTATAGCATCATCTTTGTGCCTTATTAAAGATCAGTATCTGAATTCTAAACTATTACCAAACTTCAGTTAGCATTATGATCTCAGGGACATCAAAGTTGTGCTAGGATGTTTTTGTTATAAAATCATGCATTTGATTAGTAGATGCATCAGGAAATGAAACTAGGTAAGCCTTGTTTTTAACCCAGAAAATTAAAAGGAGTTATTTTATCTTATGACTTTTCCTCCATTGGGCCTGTGGCAGTTGGAACAACAGAAACAACAAAAATAGCAGCAGCTAACACTTACTGCTTGTGTGTTAGACACTCTGCTGGGTATTTCGGTGCTCTTTCTTATTTACTCCCCACAACAACCCAGGGTACTGTTAGCCTCACTTAGGTGCTCTGCAAGGAGAAAAGAAGTTAAAAATGGTAGGCATTCCTTCCAAGTTTGTATACCAGTTCAGCCTTAAGTTTTGACCTTGTTAGTTGCATTAACCAAAAAATGTGATCAAATCTGGTTTACAAACTGTTATACATGAATCTTAAACCTCTGTGCTGTCCTACCAGAATAACACCGAGTAACCTGGCACACTCAGACTTTCTCCTTTTTAGGTGTCACATTTAATATGTCTAGAGAGAATTACTGTTTTTCCTATTTGAGATAATATATAATTAACAAAGTGACAACCTCTGGGTTGGTAGTAAATCTTGATAATATTGCTCTTCAAATTTTCTGTCACTGCTTTAAAGGTGACTCATAAGAAAAAATTATTCTTTGTTATGATCTCTCTGATTTGGAGAACTTACTGTCTTAGAGCCTGGAAAAATGTATTTTTCTTCCTTGCTTTATGCTCTGAAAGCTTTTCCACATCTCTGTCACTAGAGGGCAGTGTTGCACTGTGTGGAATAAATACTGTGCCTGAGGATTCAGCTTTAATTCACTGACCCCAAGGTCACTGGACAAGTGGTCCCATCTCTTTTGCACCCCACCCCCGTCTCCCCTACCTCATCATTATTCTGGAAGGTGCTCAGATAAGGTTGCTTGAATTTTACTAGATGGCTACCATTCTCAACTGCTGTCTGCTAGGCATGGTGCCCAAGATTCTTTATCTCCCTTGCTGTGTTAACCCTTCCCTCCCCTTCTCTGTGAAGAAATCCAATTGTCCTTTTACAGAGAATAGGCACCTTCATATATTAAATAATATTCCTGAGATTACCCAGCTAGAAAGTGGCAGAGATAGGATTCAAACCCAGGTCAGCCTGACTGCGGTACCTGTGCTTTGACCCATACCCTGTAGGGCTTTGCTTGGTGTTATCTAAAACAGATCATTGCAAGAGAGCATATAGTCTGACAAGAAACAGTCTTGTACTTGGAGATCAACCGTGAGAGGACAGCCATGTAATTGGTCTCATTCTCTCAATGGTGTCTAGGTCACCTCATGGAAAATGAGGTTATTTGTTTTGTGAGCCTGACTGCATTTCCATATGTTCAATTTGTCCTTTCAAAGGATCCAGGTGAAACTGGGATGCTCTGAGCCAGCACTGTCCAAGAAAAATACAATTTGGGCTACAATTGAGAACCTTGCCTATACTGTAAAATTTTCTAGTAGCCACATTAAGAAATACAAACCAGATGAAATTAATTTTAATTACGTATTTTAAGCCTAATATACCCAAAATATTATTTCAGCATGTATTCAGTATAAAATATTGAAATATTTTACATTCCTTCATACTAGTCTTTTTGATGTGGTGGATATTTTGTCCACACAGCACATCTCAATTTGGACTAGCTACCTGTTGGATGCTGGCTATTCACACATTCCTGGTGACTACCATTATGGACACTGCAGCTCTAGACTTATGTCTTTCACTTAATATCAGCTTTCCCTTTATACCCCTGGAGGAGGGGAGGGATAAGGGATGTCTATAGGGTTGCTCGCAGGTTATGGCATCTCTCACCAGGCTGATATATTGGGGAAATGCACAGCTGAGTTAATTCACTGAATTGTACAAGTCAGTTGGGGAAGAGAACATCAGTCTGGTTTTGGAATTTTGTCCTTTTCTTCCCCATATTGCTACCTCTTTGAATCTGAAGTTAGAATATTTTATTGCCCCTTGCATCCTTTCCCCTAAATTAATCCAAGCTGTCAGCAAGTTCAGGTTCTGCCAGTATCTGAATCAGAGGACTTTCAGGTTACCCGAAGCCTTGAAAAGCTAAGCATTCAAAGCGGTCATTTTTGTAGGATTTTTAGAATCACAGCAACCTTGATTGTGAAAGCTAATTCTTTCTTTAAAACAAAACAACTGAAAAGGAGACATCAGGAAAACCATTTGACTGATAACTGGGGTCCCATAACACTTCAGCTTCCTGTCTTCCTGTTAGGCATCTGATTTCAGGGGCTCAATGGAAAGGGAGTCAAGATGCAAAAAGGATCCTGCTGATGTGTGTTCCCGGCACTAATGGACTTTGGCGCAATGCCCTTTCAAAATGCCTGGGCACAGAGGGCGAGAGACTGTTGATGTTCTTCCAAACCTCATCTTGAATTATTAAACATTACTCTAATGTGGCTTTTACATTTCCAGAGGACTTTTTTTTTTTTTTCTGTGAGGAATAAATCATAGCCTTGCGATGTCCCCGTTTTACAAATGAGAAGACCAAGGCTTGAAAAGTTATTGGACTTCGCTGATGCATGGGTCAAAGTTCAGCAGACTCTGCATTACATTTTCCTCCTCCCAAGGCCTCTGGTTTTAGCCACGTACCTCTCAGCTAAAACATTTTGCCTAAAGTTTGCATGAGATTCTTGGCACCAGCTCTTAAAGCAAATATTTATGTTGTTCTCTGACATAAGCCATTGCAGGTTATGGTTTCATTGAAATGAAAGGTTTCTGGCCCAACTGCAAACTTATCATTTGTGAAATGAATGGTTGGGTTCTCACTGTGGGGCCAGAGAACCTATGGGGACTCTTTATGGAAATACCCATTTAATATGTATTAAATGTCTACTGTGCACCCAACATTGCTAGGTTCTTACAGACCAAGTTCTTGGAGGGGAGGAACTATGGTTTGTTCCTCTTTACATTCCCAGTGTCCAGCACAGCACATAGACCATGGTAGGTGCCCAGAAAGTTTGTTGAACGAACAAGAAGCAGAGAGAGAGTAGTACCTGCTTTCCAGGGGCTTATGATTGCTCAAGATCCAAAGGAATGCCCTACAAATGTGGTCCTTCTAGACTGGAAGCACATTAGGACCTTGAGTATTTTTAAGCTCACTTTTACTATGAATTTGGCCACTGAAACAGACTCTGGTTCACAGCCACTTCTTGTACAAAATGGCAGGGTGTTACCAAACACCTAAAATTGACTGGGTCTCTGTTTTAACTCTTTGGTGTGTTAAAATAATTCTCATGTTCACAAGAGGAGGGGGTGGTAAAATAATGTTAATGTTGAGACAGATATTGTATATAGCCTGATAAGTGACTAAACAGAAAATTAAGAAACGAATGTGACATGTACTGATCAACTAGCTATTTGCAGTTGAAACCTGAAGCGTGGACAGTTGTGCTTGGACTTAGAGGTTCTTGAAACTAGAGAAAGGAATTCACTGGATTCCAAAAGAAACTGAGAAATATGAATTATTAATGGTGCTGTCAGAGTTGTAATTGACATCTATAGAAACCAACTTTAATGTCAGTGTTTTCAGCTTTAACTTCAATGTTTTAAGGCTAGTGTTGGGTTTAGAAAATATTTACTCTGGCAACCGCCTGTTTTACTGTTAAATAATCTACATATTGTTAAGTGATCTGTTCATTTGGATATTTCTTCTAGGTCTTTTTGGAGAAGGACTTTAGTTCATCAGAGTTTTTGCTGATGCAGCAAAGCCATGGGTGGGATCCTTGTTTGGGGTGCATTTGTAGACCTTCCCCCTTGGCCACCAACTTTACCTTGCCTGGTCCAGCCATGTGGCTGGAAAGTAAGGCATGGTGTTTGTATCTAGTTGGAGCGTGTGTGTAAAAACAATTAGAAGACCATAGTTCATTCTGTGATTCTTACCGATATGGAGTGCAGAGAAAGGACTAGAGCTGCCAGGGCACTCGGTCTTGAAGTACACTCTGAAATAACCCTTGAACGTTGGTTTAATTGGACGCAAAGAAGAGAAAAAAGAATATAGCAGGTGAGGAGAATAAATTCCATGAGGGAAAAATGTAGGGATGGGCCTGGTGTTGGAGGAGAAGATAAGCACAGCATGTTAATACTGTCAAGGAGGAGATGTAATGAGACCACATGAAGGAGGAACTTATCACAACCTTCTTGGTTTAGATTTTTATTTTGCATTCAAACTTTGTATAATCTCACAAGGGAGAAATGACCTGAAAGCCTTCTTCTTAAAGTATAGGTTTTATTGCAGCTTTGACTGGGGAGGGTGAAGAGATTGGAGTAAAAGAGACTTCCTTGGAAGTTTCTGTAATAATTCGGAAATTCGTGTTGACATCACAGTAGAGTAGAAAGGGTGAATCGGACAAACGTGATAGGAACAGACAGGACTTAGAAGACTGAAAATGGGGAAGAGTAATCAGTTCAACACAGAGTTTTAAGGACTTAATTATTTCAGAGTAAATGTTTCTTTGGCAGGAGATTGGAATCACTGACAGAAATAGGGCAATTTAGAAAAAAAGCTCATTTTTTCTGGTTAGGGTGGTAGAAAGTTTTGTTTTGTTGGCATTTTCAAGGAATGGTCTGTTATATAACAAATGCCAGCTGGGCACAGTGGCTCATGCCTGTAATCCAAGCACTTTGGGAGGCTGAGGTGGGTGGATCACCTGAGGAGTTCAAGACCAGCCTGGCCAACATGGTGAAACACCATCTCTACAAAAAATAAAAAAATTAGCCAGGCTTGGTGGCAGGCACCTGTAATCTCATCTATTTGGGAGGCTGAGGCATGAGAATTACTTGAACACTGGAGGCAGAGGTTGCAGTGAACTGGGATTGCAACTGCCTTCCAGCCTGGGTGGCAGAGTAAGACTCTGTCACAAACAAACAAACAAACAAAACCTACAAATGCTCTCTAAGTGTAGAAAGCATAAGAAGATGCTTATGTTAATCAGGAGAAAAACCAGGATCTAAACTTGTTAGATCCTGGTTTTAGATATGTAAAAACTACATAGGGAGAAACTGTGGGAATTGTTAAGAGATTAACTTTGAGAGTATGGAGGGGTGTGTGTGTGTGTGTGTGTGTGTGTGTGTGTGTTTTAAAGATACATGGTCTTGCTCTGTCTCCCAGGCTGCAGTGCAGTGGCAGAACCGTGGCTCACTGCACCCTGAACCTCCCGGACTCAAGAGATTCTCCCACCCCAGCCTCCTGAATAGCTGGGACTATAGCGCACCACCATGCCCAGATAATTTCTGTATTTTTTGTAGAGATGGGGTCTTGTAATCTTTCCCAGATTGGTCGCAAACTCCTGGGCTCAAGTGATCCTCCAACCTTGGCCTCCCAAAGTGCTGGGATTATAAGCATGAACCACTGTACCTGGCCCAGAGGGGGTTTTTGAATAATGTTTTCCTACTTCTCATGGTGTTCTAGCATCTTAATATAAGTAAGTTACCACTATTACTAATGACAAAAACAATGTTAACAAAACAAGCTAACTAGATACCCTCTGCTTTTTAGAATACTCTATTTCAGAAACTAATTTTTATCCCCCCCTACAGTTTGAAAATCTGAACACAGTTGCTGAGTGTCTGTTTTCTCTGGTCAACGGTGATGACATGTTTGCAACCTTTGCCCAAATCCAGCAGAAGAGCATCTTGGTGTGGCTGTTCAGTCGTCTGTATTTATATTCCTTCATCAGCCTTTTCATATATATGATTCTCAGCCTTTTTATTGCACTTATTACAGATTCTTATGACACCATTAAGGTAAGTAATTATCAATATTTGCAGCCAAAAAATCACTGCAAATTCTGTATAGATTATAGGAAAATACCACATTTTAAAAACTTAAAATATTGCAGTTCAGATTTTGAGGTTTTGTGGACAAACTTTTTAGACACTGGAGATGAGTTTTAGGACATTGTCCCTGTTACCCACAGCAGGGTGGATCGGTTTGGAGGGGTGGTGGGAAAGGAAAGGGAAATGGGGTCAGGATGGGTTGAATGGGGTAAGTCAGGTAGTCGGGCTGCTGGTCTTAGCCCTGACAGATTACACCTGCCAGTGTGGCTGCCTGGAATTTAGGATTGAGTGATAAGTTTCAGGGATGAGAGGTGACCGGCATCCTGACAACTCTCAGATATTGCTACAACTCACACTGGATAATACAGCTACTGGCATGGTGCAGTCTTCCTTTAAATTATGAAAACTAAGGCTTTTGTGACTGTTTAGCTTCCTACTTTCTTAAGCAACCTGATGGATTCTGTATCCTTTCAAACTGGGCCCATTTAACTGATTTGTGACTTGAAGGAAGTTCACTTCCTTCTTCACAGCAGATGGTCATGCTTAGAAAATCCTGCTTCAGGGTCAGTGACTGAAAAGCCAGGGGTGCCATGCCAGTGCCTTTGTCAGGGCTGTTTTCTGCTTAACTGCTTTCTCAGAATAACGCAGAAGAAAGCCAGTCCATTACCTTTTGAGCATGTGGGGAGATAAGTAAGTGTTCAGGTGGGAATGGTAGTTGGCTCTCACATCAGGGCTTGCATGGAGAAGGAAGAGGTGCACACTCCTGCCACAGAGGTTCATGTCTTTGATGTGGCAGTGTCCCTGCATGGTGGGGGCCAAGCCTCAGTGTTAAAGTGAGTTGTCTCATTAAGCATGAAGGGAGGGAGTCTTTGTGTCTGCTTGGAAAAAATCTGTCTTCTGTTCCACTAGGTGACCAACTTCCATAAAAGTAAGAGGAAATAATGATTACTTCCCAAGCAGAGTCTACATTGCCAATGTGTGTGTGGAGTGGGAGATCTTATCTAGTCTTACTGTTAGCATTAAAGATTTAGACTTTTTTTTTTTTAAAGAGAGAGGGTCTTGCTCTCTTGCCCAGGCTAGAGGACAGTGGTATGATCCTACCTCATTATAGCCTCCAAGTCCTGGGCTCAGTCGATCCTCCTGCCTCAGCCTCCAGAGTAGCTGGGACTACAGGTGCACACCACCATGGCCAGATAATTTTTGTATTTTTTGTAGAGATGGGGTCTCACCATCTTGGCCAGGCTGGTCTCAAACTCCTGGTCTCAAGTGATCCTCCTTGGTCTCCCAAAGTGCTGGGATTACAGGCATGAGCCATCGTACCCAGACTAAACATTTGACTTTTGATTATTTCCTTCATTACCATTTTTTTTTTTTTTTTGACAAACCTCTCCCTGGCTCTCCTCTGCTTTCTTTCTGAAGTTTTTCTTTGGATTGTTCTCTGTTCCCACAGTGGCCCTGGCTTGGTGTTCTGGGACTGACAGATTGATTCATCATTGTTAACATCAGTTCTTGGATCTGAGCTAGCAATGTGGGAGAGCTTTATTTTAGCAAAGGTGGACTTGGTTTGTTGACAAAAGAGCAATTTCTCATGCTTTATAAATAAGGTAACAACATTGTATACTTTCTAAAGAAATTCCAACAGAATGGGTTTCCTGAAACGGATTTGCAGGAATTCCTGAAGGAATGCAGTAGCAAAGAAGAGTATCAGAAAGAGTCCTCAGCCTTCCTGTCCTGCATCTGCTGTCGGAGGAGGTCAGTATCATGTTTATTCGCCATGTTCCTGAGATGGGTTGCTCTGTTGCCTTAAGGAAGAGCCCCTCCAAGATTACCATTACATTCAGAGATCAGCTTATCGTGGGAAATAATTCACCTTTCTTTTCTTTCCTCCCACTGAAATTGGCTTTAGAAATGAATTATTTCTTCTAAAACAGGGTTATGTAGAAAGCTACATGACGTGATTAGAATATCTTAGGAATACTATGAAACTCTTAAGAGAAGGCATAAATTATGTCCTTAAAGTCAAGAGGCTGAACTCTTAAGTGGACCAAGTAAGAGGTCAAAGCTCTTATTTTTAGAGGTGGAACTCTGGGAATGTCAGAGTCATTTTCCCTTTTCACAGTATGTGGTACAAGCAACCTTTCTTGATCAGAGCAGGAAACCTCTTTGCGAGGAGGCTGTCCAAGTGCTTGCTTAGCAGTAAAACACCAGTAGCTCTTCCTTGCCCCGCTGTGCTTTGCCTGCTGTTCGTCAGGACATGTAGGGAAACGGTCTAGACTTCAGTGGACAAAGCATATTACATAGTGATTTGTGGACTAGAATGGGGTCATGTGAAGACAAATTTTTTTTAATGTGCCTGTGTTTGCTTTCATCTGAAGTCAGGGGTGCCAGTTTGTAACTAAAAGTATACTCTATACATGTTTTTTTCTTTTTGGAAGGACTCTCTAACCCAAATTCCTGAAGGAAGCTAGGAGAACATAATTGCTATTTAAAACCACAGGATGCATTTTTCTGTTAATCAATTCATACAGTATCTTGGGACTTACAATGATATGATTGAGCAGATCCAGAGAATGTCTGGTAAATAGAAAATGAGATCTGAGAAGAGTTGTTTTCAGAATCACACCTTTTTTTCTCAGAGCATTAAATTGTCGCTATGAAAGCTGGGATAAAGGAAATTAATTTTCTTAATAGGCAGCTGCCTCCTAAGAGGCACCATGTATAAGGAAAGTCTCTCAAAATCTCTTTTTTACTATAAGGGGGAAAAACTTCATTGGAAAATGTAGTCATGAATTCTAAAAAGTAAATGATAGGTCTTTGGTGTTTGGACCTTGGTTTGTGCCACACAAAGTCCTGGGAGGTTGTTAAATGTTTTGTCATGCAGCCCTATGGAACAAGTGAAAGATTTAAGGCGTGGACCCCAAGATGTTTGGGTAAGATTGGGTGTGAGTGGTGAGACGCAAGGAGCAACAGCAGCAGACTGTTTGCCCTAAGGTATGCTGAGGGTTGTTGAGAAGATGCATGGTGAGACGGAGGGTCTGCCCCTCATGAAGAGTGAAAGAATTCGAGGGAACAAGAGAATCCACCAAGGAGATCAACTAAAGAACTAGGATGATGAAAGTTTTGAAAAAGAGGATATCAAAAAATAAAGACAGGTAGCTGTAACTATGTTTGGCCAAACGATGGTCCCGAGTGAAGTCAGCTGTGGCAATTTCAGTGGAATCATCAGACCAAAGCCTAGATCCCAGGGTGCTCGTATGGACCCTGCAGAGTGAATGAAGGGCCTAGGCCCTGATGGAAGGAAATGGATTGTAATGGGGCCTTAAAAACAAGTGATGGCTTTGACTCCATCTAAAATTAAGTATAGCTTGGTGTGTTTAAAAGCTAGGAATGGAGCTGGTTACGGTGGCTCATGCCTGTAATGCCGGCACTTTGGGAGGCCAGGGCAGAAGGATCTCTTGAACCCAGGATTTTGAGACCAGCATGGGCAATGTAGTGAGACCCTGACTCTTAAAAAATAAAATAAAAGCTAGGAACAGGAGAATGGACTAAAATTGAGGAAGGCTGTGAATGGAGGCTAAAGATGAACATAAAGATTCAGCTCTGCAAAGATTGGTTTCTGTCTGGTGACCATGACAGGTGACACCTGCTATCCCAATGCTGCTTCCTGCAGAGCATGGCTGTGGTCACTCTTCAACAAAGCAGTCCAACAACCAGCACACATTTGATTCTCCTTTGAGTTTTTGACAGAGCCTCTAGCCTGAGCATCAGAACACCTGGGTTTTCTTTTTGGACACTGCCATTAACCAAGTGTGTCCTGTGACCTCTCCTAAACCTCTTGGATGGATCAGATGACCTCTGAAACCTCTTCCAGTTCTAAAGTGATGTGGTTCTTTGGAGAGAGATGCTTGGTTGAAGAGACACAGAGTTAACCTTTACCTTCCTCTATTGCAGTGAAGGAGGAAAATTGACTGTTCTAGTAATTGATAAGGCCTTGTTAGCGAAGGGACACAGAGGTTCTTTTTTTTTTTTTTCTTCCCAGAAGCAAACTAATATATTTATTGAGTAAAACATAAATGTGACATATATTTTTCTTTTTTAAAATTTTACTTAACGTTCTGGGATACATGTGCTGAATGTGCAGGTTACATAGGTATACATGCGCCATGGTGGTTTGCTGCACCTATCAACCCATCATCTAGGTTTTCAGCTCTGCATACATTAGGTATTTGTCCTAATGCTCTCCCTCCCCTTTCCCCCCACCCCCCAACAAGTCCCAGTGTGCGATGTTCCCCTCCCTGAGGGCATGGAAGTTCTTAAGAGACAGGTGACTCCTCACAGTGTTTCCAAAAGCATCTGCTCAAACCTCAAACAGTGGACATTGCCCTTCTTTATTTGTTTACTTTTTATTCTGAACGTTGGTAAATAATCAGAACACCTTGCCTGTCTTAATTTTTCTTCCTCTTACATGTTTCACTCAACATGTCCATAATCTATGTGGTCCTGGAATATAGAGTATTCCTACTGCTCCTCAAAGATTTTAAATTATTGTGTCTTTTCTCTTTTCTTCTTTCCCTTTCTGTTATAGGAAAAGAAGTGATGATCACTTGATACCTATTAACTAAAGTTCTTCTGCTAAAGATGATTAAAGTTCAGGCATCCTTATCCAGCAGCTGGACAGAGGAACCCCAAATGACTTGGACCAGCAGTTCCAAAATGACTCTCTTATTTACTTGTGGAGTAGGAAAGAGGACTAACGGTTAGCCAGCTGACCATGACTGAAATTCCAGCTTTACTTTTTATAAACTTGAATGATAAAGAATAGACCACAGGCTACTGCTGGGCATTAGTGCAATTGAACAGTGATAATAAAATTCTCTATTAGTCTGTTAATTTATGACATGATCTCAGAATGGAAAAAGATCACATTTCAGAGTGTGCAAAATAGTCTTTAAAGCCATGTATTTAAATATGTGTGTTTATTGTCAAATAAGGGTTTGTTTTAAAGGTGATTCTTGGTTTGAAGACATTCGTTAATTCATGGTCTGTATAGAAATGAAGTTGGTTGCAGTACCAATCTAGAGAGTCCAAGCTGGCGAACTACTAAGCTGTTTAAAGATCACCCTTGGCCTGGCACAGTGACTCACACCTGTAATCCCAGCACTTTGGGAGGCCTAGGCAGGCAGACCACTTGCGCTCAGGAACTTGAGACCAGCCTGCGCAACATGGCAAAAACTCATCTCTACAAAAAATATAAAAATTAGCTGGGCATGATGGCAGGCATCTGTAGTCCCAGCTACTTGGGAAACTGAAATGGGAGGATCACCTGAGCCCTGGAGGCAGAGGATGCCATGAGCCGTGATCGTGCCATTACACTCCAGCCTGGGTAACAGACAGACCCTGTCTCAAAAAAAAAAAAAAAAAAAAAGATCACCCTTAAATCAACAAAAAGACCTCATGCTCATGCAGTGGACATTTCTTGGCCTGTTTTCCTGTGGGTTTTTCTTCAGCATGATATGAAGCAACTGTTGGCATAGCCAGTGGGATGAATAAGAAATGGAATCATTTGTCTGCCTCATCACTTGTGCTAATGGTTGGTTGTACACACAGGACGTGTGGAAGTGACCTGTATCTGTGGTCACTCATTTTAACAATTGAACTCTGCTGTGTTAGTCGTTTACCTTTGTCTAGCAAAGAAATATGGTATATTTTCTCTAAATAAATTTATTTTTATCATTCCATATGGCACTTACTATTTTATGCATTGTCTCTAAACAACTACCTAGTGAAACATTCAGATCACATCTCTCTTAAGCACTTGGTCTCCAAAAGGGATTTCCCAATTGCTTAAAAGCAGTGAAGGACACACAGGGGCTAGGATACAGAAGTTATTCAATAAATATTTATGATGATAGCTTGAGAGATGAAGATCACTTCAGGCATAGACTTATTTCATACTTGAGCTATCTTAGTGGTCAACTATTTTAAAGTTACTGGTGAAGAGGAGAATTTGAATTAAGCAGGACCCACCCTCCTTCCAGGGCTCTTCCTCTTTTTCCTTGGCCTCAGTCGCCCTCCCCACAATCCCCTACCCAATTTTCCTTCTCATGTCACCTTCTCCCTCCTTGCTCTGACTCCATCTTCATATGCCTGCACCAAATCTAGGCAGGGAAAATCATGCAGTTAATACTATTAAAGTTATTAAGAGAGTAGATGACTCATGTCTACACACAGGATACTTTGCTAAAATTATCATTTTAAACTTTCTTTTTTACAAAATATGTGAAGAGTTATGTTTGATTTTTAAACTAAGACACCATTAAAGTGGTGGTTCTGGGGTCATTTGCTGAATCAGAGATGTAATTTGACCACTTGTTAACTTCTGAGTATATTGTCATATACTTAGTTTTGTCTCTGAAAAGAATTGCTATTTTTTTCTTTTTATTTATTTATTTTTTTAGACAGATTCTTGCCCTGTTGCCACACTGGAGTGCAGTAGCACGATCTTGGCTCACTGCATCCTTTAACTCCCAGGTTCAGTAATTCCCCTGCCTCAGCCTCCCGAGTAGCTGGGACTACAGGCACGTGCCACCACATCCGGCTAATTTTTGTATTTTTTTTAAGTAGAGATGGGGTTTCACCATACTGGCCCAGATGGTCTTGATCTCTTGACCTCGTGATCCACCTGCCGTGGCCTGCGAAAGTGTTGGGATTACAGATGTGAGCCACCGCGCCCGGCCCAAGAATTGCCATTAACATGGTGAAACCCCATCTCTACTAAAAATACAAAAATTAGCTGGGTGTGGTGGCAGGCGCTTGTATTCCCAGATACTCAGGAGGCTGAGGCAGGAAAATCGCTTGAATCTGGGAGGCAGAGGTTGCAGTGAGCCAAGATCCTGCCACTGCACTCTAGTCTGGGTGACAAAGCAAGACTCCGTCTCAGGAAAAAAGAAAAAAAGCCTTTCACTTATTCTACAGCTGTGACTGCTGTTTGAATAGAAGATTAATGATGGGTTTTCATGCTCATATTATTCTTCTATTGGCTTTCATGTTTTCTTTTATTTCTTTTCCCTCCAGCTGGACAAAATAGTTATAGAAAGAAAAATGTTTTTCAGGGTTAGTTCACATCTATAGAAACATGGTTTTCTCCCTTTTTAATAATGTTAAACAAGTGTCACTTTACCAACTGTATTGTCTATTTGGATTTTATTGAACAATGTTGTCTCATAATTCTGCTAATAGATGCATCTGGGATAAATCATTTTCTCTCTTATCACAGGCCTCCACTTAGAGAGTTCCCTGTGAAAGTTAGGAGACACATTCTTTCCGCCTACTGGTTTCATTCCGGGATCTCCAACCCTTGAATTTAACTGCTTGGCTTGTGGTGACACAGTCAAAACCATATGCAACATTTTAAAGCTTTTTCACTTGGGCTGGGAGTAGAGAGTGTGGGCATAAGAGCCATCTAGACAGACTTGAGTTAAAATTCCAGGTTAACCTAACTTTAAGACCCTGAACAAGTTACTTTCTTCCTCTAAGTGATGATTAACCTCAACCAAGACTAGCACTTAAGTCGCATAATTTATGCAGAACCTGGTATTGAATTCATTCCTGAGCTGCTATTTCCCTTTGATTCTCTACCATGTTTGCAATAGTTTCCATGGGACCATGGAATAATGCAGACACAACTTTGCTTCTGCAACCTGTCTGCCTCAGCTGTCCTCTTCCTACTGCTACCCGAGTCTCCTTGGATAGGTCACACCATGCATCGATTTCCTCATCCATAAAATGGGGGGATTATGAGGATTAAGTGAGTCAAATGTAAAGTACATAGACTAGGGCGTGACTCCTAAATGCTCAGTGACTATTAGCTCTTAAAAAAAAAAAAAAAAAAAAAAAAGTCTTACTAACATGGTCTACAAATGTACAAATCTATTCATCTGGGCCAGCCAGGAAGATTTTTATTTTATAATGAGCTCACCACACACTTCTGGTGGACTTTGTTCTAGTTAGAAGTTTAAGTGTGCAAAAGTCCCCCATCCAGCTCTGTCCTGGAAGCAATGATCAGTTCAGTTCTAAGAAGCTCACACCTAGCTATACAGGAGCAGCAAGGAGAAGCAGCCTAAATGGCTGGGGCACAGCTGTCAGTCCTGATGGAAGAGAAAAGGTCCAGGAGGTGCACAAGCTGTCACAAAGCCTCAGTCCTTCACCCCGGTGAGACCCTCAGTCATCTACTAGGACTACCCCCTTAACCAAACTTGTCAGAATGTATGAAATTCAGGCCCACTTGCTTCTCAACCCATTGAAGATTCAAAGTGGTGAATGCAAAAGAGTGAGAGAGAGTAGTTAGGAAAAGCTCTTCATATGATTCGAAGCACTGTCCCCTACTCCTGCAGAGGACCTACACTCCAACAATTGTAAGAAGGGTACACTGATCCAGTGGAAGCCCAGGCGTGGAATCTTGGGTTTACAAAAAGCACAACAGCCCAGTCTTTTAATCTAGGAGTAGCCAGTCACCCTCTTGTCCCTGTGGACCTTCATGTAAAAATAGTCCAGCACGGTATTGATGTTCAGGGGCCTTTCTAAAGTCACTGGGAAGGTATATTCAGTAAACTACCACCGTGGTCTTGGCCACAGAGTTGTTTCCTGACAATATCAAGAGCTGTGATGCTTACAGGTATGATTCCAGATACCTGAACAATTCACTTGTGACAGCCACATATTGCAGTAACATTAGATGAATAGACCTCATTTTACTGCTAATCAGTTCCATCTTTATTTTCTTGTAATTTGGACAAATTTTATTTTGCTTTGCTTCACTTGAAGTTTGAACATTTTAACCATGTTAGTCCCTCCTCGTTCACAGAGAATATGTTTCAGGACCCCCAGCAGAGGTGCAAAACCCCAAACAGTACTGAATCCCATACAGGTTGAGCATCCCTAATTCGAAAATCCAAAAGCTGAAATGCTCCAAAATCTGAAACTTTTGCTGACATGACTCCACAAGTGGAAAGCTTCACAGCTGACATCATGTGATGGGTTGCGGTCAAAACTTTGTTTCATACACGAAATTATTTAAAATATTGTATGAAATTACCTTTAAGCTATGTATATAAGGTATATATGAAACATAAGTGAATTTCATGTTTAGACTTGGATCCCACCCCCAAGATATCTTATTATGTATATGTTAATATTCCAAAAGCTGAAAAATCCAAAAGCTGGAACACTTCTGGTCCCAAGCATTTTGGATAAGGGATACTCAACCTTTTTATATTATGTTTTTTCCTATACGTACATACCTATGATAAAGTGTAATTTATAAATTAGGCACAGTAAGAGGTTAACAACAATAACAATAAAATAGAACAATTATAATAATATACTGTATTAACAATGATGATAAAATAGAACAATTAATATACTGTATTAATAAAATAGAACAATTATAACAACACTATACTGTAATAAGTTATAAGAATGCGGTCTCACAGAATGTCTTACTATACTTATTCACCCTTCTTATGATATGAAATGATAAAACGTGTAAGTGATGAAGTGAGGTGAGTGATACAAGCATTGTGATGTAACGTTAGGCCACTACTGACCTTCCGATGATACGTCAGAAGGGGGTCCCAGATCACTGAGCCATGGTGATGTCAACGGTTAGATGTCAGGAGCAGACAGTGTTGATGACTAATGGATGAGGAGCATCTCAGCATGGACACACTGGGCAAAGGGAGGATGCACGTGCCAGGATGGATGGGATGGGACACACGAGATTTCATGACACCACTCCGAATGGCAAGCAATTTAAAGTTTATCAAGTATTTATTTCTGGAATTTTCCATTCAATATTTTCAGACCGTGGTTGATCTCTAGTAACTGAAACCACAGAAAGTGGATAAGGGTAGCCTACTATATTGCAATGAGGTTGAGTCTTTCTCTACCAAATAGCTAGAATTTCACACAGTTCGTAAAGCATGCATGAAGTAGCTCTTGCATGAGGAGTGATGAGGACCTCACAGGCTAACCCCTAAGCACAGCATTCTGGTATCAGGCACTTGAGGAAGGACAAGAGGCACAGGAACAAGAAACCGCTGGTCCTGTGTCTTGATGCAGGTGTTGACTGAGCACCTCTACTTTTCCTTCCTACACTTGAGATGTTCCAGGCTCTGGATACTGCTGACATGCAGAGCCAGCTTTGTGGCTGTGTAATCCATACATTCTCAAAGAACCTTGTGCTTGGCTTAATGGTCCTCCGTCAGTCTTGAAATTCTTAACATTTCTTGAACAAGGGACCCCACGTTTTCAGTTTTCAGTAGGCCGCACAAGTTATGTAGCTAATCTTGATGATAGGATTATATAACTCAATGATTAAAGCATGGTTTTTTAAAAAAAAGGCTAGGAACCCAGGAATGTACTTTTAAATTTAATAGATTTAATAAAAGAAAAGCATGAACCTGAATTGGAATTGCTTTTTGAAAAAACGGACTTTTTTAAGAGCAATTTTTGGTTTACAGCAAAATTGAGAGGCAGGTACAGAGAGTTCTCATATCCCTCCTGCCCACACATGTGCACAGCCTCTGCCATTATCATCATCCCACACCAGAGTGGTATATTAGCTACAATCCAACCAATGAAACTGCACTGGCACATCATTACCACCCAAAGTCCATAGTTTACATTACGGTCATTCTTGGTGTTGTACGCTCTGGATTTGGACACATGTATAACATGT